CATTTAAAATGCCAAAATATATTTTAGGTTATAAACTATTAAATAGAAATTTTTTGATTGAATTTCCCAGATAAGTTTACTTTTTTCAATATGAAAAAAGTATAAAATTAAAAAAAAACATATATATGAGCTCAGTACAACGCTATTTTTAAAAATAAAAGCTTTAAAGAAGAATTAAAAATTTTCTTTTGTGCTTTCTGTTGACGTAATTAACTCTTTTATAATGAAAACTTTCATGTCATTTTTGAATAGCGATTGAAAACTAGGAAGTTGATTCAAATAAATAAATATTAGTTCGCATTTTCCAAAAGTACTTTTTTCTTGCAATTAATAGTTTTATACTAGTTAATTAATCTTTACTTTTTCTACAATTTAGTGAATTTTGATGCATTCAACTACCATAATTAACTTGGAAAATGGTATTTTATATCTATTTATTTGAATCAATTGGCAACGTCCCAACACTTCCCTGCAATTAACGATTTTCAAAATAATAAAAATGCAGGTTCGTCTCACGTTATTTGATCATTACAATAAAAAAAAACAATAAAAAGTTCTGATCTTTATGCAATTTTACGTTACTTCTTTGATTAAATAATTATATCTAAGAAATAATAATCACGGAGCTCGTGAGTTTTGAGCAAATATTCGCGACTTAACTCATCTTCCGAGAAAACGACATCAACCTTTTCCCCTTAGGAATTACGTTATTTTTTATCTTCGAACTAAACTAATTGGTTCGAAATGTTTCAAAACAAGCATTCGTGCGTTTTATCTATTGAAAGTATTGATTGTGAAAGCAAAACGACGCTTTGAAGTTCGTTTAAAATTGTTTTTTCATTTCAATTTTTAACAATGTTCTTAATTAATTATTTAATTCTTCTGTTACATTTCTGCATCGCGTAAAGGAATTTAAGATACATCTTAAAAAATTTCACAAAATATCAGGAAAATTTAAAAACGCATTAGAAAAAATCTAAAGCTCCCTAAATGACTATTCAAATTAATTAATAGGTTTTTTAAATTTACAATTAAAACTCGAATTTGGTACTAATTTTTAAATCTTTTATTCTGAGTAAAAACATTTTCATATATTTATTACTAGTGGGCTCCACCCTCTACTCACTAACACTCGCCAACCTCTAAAAAATATCTCACAATCTTACTAGGTTTGCTTTGCGATTTCAGCTCACTTCACTCGCTATCAAGTTAGACCTGTTTGGAATGTCTCATAGTATTCGACAACATGAATAACTACAGAAAAAACCTTAAAACAGAAATAATTGCTAAAATTTTATGATACGTAATTTTGATGTAAGAAACTGAATAAAGTGTGGTTTAGGCTTAACAGTGTTAGTCTTATTCCAAACCTATTAATCACTTAGCAACTTTCGTAGCAAATGTTGAAACACAAATAAAACACAATTAGCCATAATATTTCATGATATTGATAATCACTCTTTGGCATCAGCATAAGATTAGCTTTTATGATTTAAAATCAAAGTTTTTTTTCAAGTAAATAAATAAGAATACGGTATGTATATTACACCCATCAGTCGTGTCACTAAAATCCATGACATGCATACGGAACAAACTAAACGAACCCTTATATTTTGCCCCAAAAGAAGGTATTAAACGACCTTCCATCTTTTTACTTGTTCGAATTTTTTTCATAGGTTTGAGTTTTCTTCTGCTAAAATTATTCCTCACCGCCATATAATTTCATCTATCTATCGCATCTATCTGCTATTTCCCCTTCATCTACCGACATCGACTTCTGAGAATCATTCTATATTTTGAAAAATTCTAATCTAAATTATACTTCAATTATCCAATACGTTCCAAATGTTTGCAAATCTGTTCTAATTTAATTTCTACATCTATTCCTTTGGGATTCCTCGCTCACCCGTTTTTTGTCTTTACCTTCTTTATTTCATTATCTTGTTCCAACAATCGTTCTTCGTCCCCCATTTTTTAACCCATTTTGTTTCTTATTACAACGCGTTTGTCTAGTTATTGTTCTCCTTTCATTTTGCGTTTTGACACTGATGACGGTTTATGTTTATAAAGCTGAAACTATGGTATGCCCATTTCTGTACATTTATTTGAGTTTTATGTACGTTGTTTCGCATTATTCCTACGTAGAACAAAATACACCCTATCCTTACTCGCATAAAATGAGTAATTAACTTTAATAATGTCATTATTTAAGTTTTTTTTAATAAAAAATTTCTAATACAATTCATACTTTTTATAGATGCTTATAAACATCTTACAAAAACTTTTAGTTCATAAAAATCATTGTATACTAAAAATGATTAATGTATATGAAAATGCAATATTCTATGAACAAATTTTATATGCTAAATATTATAATTTTTTTTATATTTGTAGCAAAAAAAAAGTTAAATTTCGTCCGTTAATGCTTCGAAGGATGAAGTGTAAAATATTCTAAAATGTGCCTTTTTCAGTCATATATTTTATTCAAATGTGTATATTTAGATGATAGATATATTTTGAGCAACTTTTCTCAGGGTATAAGAGAGTCTTATCCTTTTCAAAAAAATGTTTTAAGGAAATGGGTTTTCTCAGTTACTTTACATTTTAAATTTAGTTTTCAGGAATGTTTTTGAAATATCGAGTAAAAACTGATACAAAGCACGCAGACTTATTTTATAGTAATGTAAAATGAAAGTAGCTTTTACTATATATTATATAAAAAGTTTTTATTTTCAGTGAGAAAGAAAGTTATTGAATAAAAAAGATAAAGTATCTTGCTTAGTTCTATCATTATATGATAAAAATATTGCACTATGTAATATTGTAATAAGCAAATATGTAATTTTTTTCAGAAGAAAAGACCAATTCATGTACAGTTAAACACACACAAATGATTAAAAATGTATATACTTTGATCAAAAATTTTACTTTGATCAAATGAATCTATACTAATTTACGTTATACCAAATTTTAAGGCTCTATCTGCAACTGAACTAAAAATATCTTACACTTAATCTCAAAGCATTACTTGTCTGTAAAAGGAGTTTAAAAGTTTGCGGATTGGTCATATTCACATACATGCTTTAGAAAAAAAATTATAACTTTGGAAGTAACTGGGTTATCAAAAAGAACTTTGTCAAATTAATTAGAAGAAGTTTATTACAGGTTAGTTTATTCTTTTCAAGAAATTAACTATTTTGATCTGAAGCAACTTTGAGACCGCTTTAAATATAATATGATAAAATGTATTAATAAAGCAGGTATTAATCAACATAAGCATTTATTTGTTGAAAACAAAAAAGAGCTCTAAACAGTCATAAAAAATTATTTTATCAATATCAAATTTAATGCATAAATTTATAATAATTAAAAATGAGTTGTGCAATTGAGATGTGATGGACCTTCAACAATACATATAAGCATCCTTTAAAATCATAAAGGAACATTTTAGACAATATGACGTTTAGACGTTAAGAAGAATAAAGCCCTGCTTTGTCTAGTAATAGCCATCTGGTAAGTAACAGCTATTGTCAAAGTCTCCTTTTTTTGGCATTCAAAATGGATTGGTCGTGGAGAATTTAGAGAATTTATTAACAACAATTGATAAAATCAAAAAAATTATATCAGCCATATAATAGTTTTCAAATTTTAAGTAAATGCTTTGAACCGTTCCGTGGAGAATCTCTAAAAATAGAATTGTCGATCGCATCGCAAGGTTAATGAGAAAAAAGATATTAAAAGTTATATTTATTGAGAAGATGATTAAATGAAACATTAATTCAAATTATAAATGAAATGAAATAAGTTTTGCTTATTTTCTGCAAGGAAATTTTGTTTGATTAAAAAAAATACAGCAAGCATTATGTAATCCTTAACAAAACGTACGCGCATAGAGTGAATTTGCAAATGATTTTCTAACTTATAATTATTAAGCAAAACATGTCTGTGTCGTATATCAAAAGAAAATAGAAGACGCGTGCAAAAGTATGCACGAGCGAGAGGGGATTTTATTAAAATAATAATTCAATGAATTTGAAAGAAGTTATAGAAAAGAAACAAAATCTATATTTTCTATTTTATCCGTTAGTTTAATTACTACACGTATATTTTTCTATTTACTAAATAACAAAAAATAAAATAATGAAATGATTATTTTTGAGAGATGTAAGTAATGAAATTTCTTGTAATCATCGAATTTTGAAGATTCAAGTAGATGGTTTTTCATAAGTAAAGCATCAAAGCCTCATCATTTTATATCTTCACTTAGAAAATTTTCTAAATTTAGTAGTTTTGTATTAAAAAATTTCCTTTTCTAGCAAATTGTAGCTAGAAAATTATTAGAATTAGCAGATATTTGATTCTTTTTCATCACTTCTTTTAAAATTAAAAAAGAAAATTGAAGTAAAACAAAAAAAAATGTTAATTTTTTAACGGTTTCAAATAAGAAGAGATAATATTTTCTGGGATCATTTCAATTGCTAGTTGGTCTACAAAATATATTCTGAAATTTTTCCAGTGTTGGTGAGTTTAATAGTAAGGACTTCTTTCTTCCAAAGTTGATTGTTCAATTTTCAACTGAAATTTAATTAAAATATTTATACAACTAAATTTAATAGTTGAGAAATGTCAGTTAAAATAAGAGTTAAACGAAGTCTTTTCATAATAAATATCTTATTTTTTATGGAAAAACTTAAACGAGTGTCTAAAATGCGCTTAGAATATAAAAGGGAAACATTTTCCCGTTAGAATTTCGTACAATATGAGTCAAATATTCAAATGACCTGTCGGTTAAGATAGTGAGCTATGATTGATGAAGTCAAATAGAAAAGAAATAGGAAGCACCACATTATTGCATATCTGAATTTTCACTTTATGTAATGCAAAATTCAGTTACGTTGAGCTCGCAACTAGTTTCCTTGCTGATGGCGCAAAATATTAACATTATTCAATTAGTTTTGATAGACAGAATAGGTATATATTTCTTGATTGGAAAAACTTACTTTGGAACACTTTAGGAGTAAAGTTCTAAGAATGTAATCGGAACACTTCTTGAAACTGATAAGCGTCACACTGAAATAACCAACTTCTAAACTTTTCCCGTCAGACCAATACTGAGCACATTTTTCCTGAAAAATATAAGATAAAAATAAGAAGTCAGTGAAAAATACGAGAAACTAATTATCCATGAAACAACACTACTTATTAATTTTTAAAATAAGCATTTTATTATGACATGAACTTAATATTGAATCTAACAGAATGATGGGAAAATAAAGTCCGGATCATTCGTAATAGCTTATGATATAATAATAAGATTTTTATACACAAGGAGATTTGTTATTGTTTAACGAGGTAATTCATTAGTGAGGGCGATAATTTATTTAACGAAATAAGACGTGAAAATGCAAATTCTCGGAATAAACATGTTTTTTTTCTCCTTTCAAACTTGATTCCTAAGATATGAAGGAGTGGGGAGATGCAATAAGGAAATTATTAATATTGAAATTTAAAATAACAAAGATTAAAACGCTGTAAAAAGTCTTACATTATAAAATTTAAAAAAAAAATCATTGTTGAATACCCCCCTCCCCAATTTTTTTTTGTTGTGATTTAAATTTGCCTTTTAATGCTACTGAACAATCACCCGTATTTATTTGGCAGGTTACATTTAAATTTCAGATACCGTAATTTAAAACTACATTCATTAACCCCTTAACGATCGGTTAATTTCCAAGAAAACAGTCATAAAAGTGCCTATTTTTTTAATCCCTGCATCCCTGATTAGTGCTGACATCTAGTTTAAAATAAACTAACTGTCTACAAATACCTTAAAAATATCCTGGTACTGCCATCTGGTGTGTAAAATGGGGAATAAAATGCTTCCCAGCCAAAAGAAATGAATTAGTTTTATCTTATTGGCGCGTTACTACTGAACACTCCAGCCCGGAAATATCACGGGAGCAAGAAATGGAGGATGAAACCTCACCCCGTCATTTTCATGGGAGGGAGAAATTATTTTGTTAACATCTAAAACAGTTATTTATGTAATTTAGGGTATTCTTTTCACTGTAAAAACTGTGTGTTATACCTACCTGAATTTGGTGTTGAAAAACTCCAAATTGTTATTTGAAGTTAATATCGAATCTAGTGTTCATATACACGTTAAAGGGTGTAGTTAAATATAAATTATTAAATAAATGATAAAGATTACACTAAACACTCTCCTTTCATGAATGTTTTTGTCAATCTTGGAGTGTCAAACGATAGATGTTGTTTGTTTAAATGGCGAGAATTCGATTTCGCCTCTCACGATGTTGAACATTCGGCAGAGATAGAAAGTACGTTAAAAAGGCATTTACTTTTTTTGGTTGTATAATAAAAATATAATTATTTTCACATAATAAGGTATACATAAATTTGTCTATTATAATAAACAGTTTTATAAATTTTTTATTTTGATTCGTTTCGATTTTGTTAAGCCTTGTTCGAATTTGTATTAGTATTCTCTCTGTGCTGTGTGTTTGATTAAGAAACTAATTTTTTGCAACAAACTAACTAACATGCAGCCAAAATCAATGTTTCTGGATTTGTATTCTATTGTGAAAACAGTGATTCTTATGTGTATCGTGACTCTTATGTGTATCACATCTTAAAGTAATTATAAATTTTAGTGTTCTGAATCGCAAAAATAGTAGCGATTACTTTGCACCTAGTCATCATCATCATCACTCGATAGCCCAGGGTGGGTTTCGGCCATCTCAAGAAGTTTTTTCCAGGCTAACCTTTTTCCTGCTAGCGTTTTCCAGTTTTTAGTTTTTAAGACCCAAAGGTCTTTTTCTAGGCCATCTACTCATCTCAAATTCAGCCTGCCTCTTTTTCCTTTGCCAACTGGTCTGGCATTGAAAACTCTTTTTGTGGTACGGTCTTTGTCGATTCTGATAACGTGTTCTGTCCATTTTATTCTTTGTCGTTTAATAAAGTTATTAATGTCAGGTTCATTATATGAGTGATAAAGCTCTAAATTTGTTCTTCGAGGCCACACGCCATTTTTATTTAAATTCCTCCAAAAATACTTCTCAAGACCTTTCTCTCAAAGGTACCCAACATAACCTCATCCGTACTAAGTAGTGCAAAAAAATAGTGTGCAGTGAAATACTTAGACTGCCAAGAGTTACGTAAAGCGTCTTATTACGCTACTTTGATGTAAAGTAGTTGCCATTTTTGTTGTAGAAATACACTAGAGATTTAGATTAAGATTTCCACTAAAAAAAATTGAAAATCTTATCATTAAATTAAAAGCTATCATGGGAATCCATTTCAATTTTTGTGGACTTTTGTACTCTAACCAATACGATACATCTGACGTAAAATATTTTTATTAATTCATTTCACTCGGGGTTAATTAATTCTTGCATCGCAGTGTTGTTAAAGCTACAACCTTATATCCCATGATTCAAGAAACCTTTAACTGAATGTTAAAAAAATGTAAATAATGTAAGCAATGAAACGTTATGAAAGAAAATAAGGAAAGGTAATAGAAAGTTAATTATGCCTTATATGTAAGACAACGATTATTAAAATATCGTGCAAGCAAACGTTATCTATTATATCGAGTGTATTGATGTAAATGTCTGGTAAATAACTTGACAAATTAAGGCGAAATATTATTTAATTATTTATCTATGATAAATAATTAAAAACAAAATCATAAATTCTTTTAACAAAAAGTCGCATTTTTAATATTTTTATTGGAAAATATGATATGATTTTAAAATTTTGATTAATAATACTTAGTATTAATAATACTTAGTATTAATAATACTTAGTATTAATTAGCAAGTACAATGAAGGCGTTTTGAAACATGAAGGAAATATCTTAGTACTTGCGAAAATGATTTGATTCAAATGATTTCTGGTAAAAATCTGGCTAATAACTTGAAAAACTGAAATCAAATTCTGATTTATGGTAAACAATTATAAAATCTATGTTAATTTAATAGAATTAAGTTATTTTTAATTGACCTATCTTTGGTAAGTTTTTTCATAGATGAATGGAGTATTTCAGTATGAGAAAATTCAATTACTAAGTTAAAAATTATTAAGTGTCCCCGCTTTTTGGCACACTGTACAAAATATTTTTATGCAAAATTATGTATTGATATTTTGTACACATTTTTAAATGCAACTAGTCTAGCATAAAAAAGGAAAACTATTAGCATCAGTAATAACATCAGCAACACTGCTCTGTAGTTGATAAGAGGGAAGACAGCAAAATGCTCTGGGCGCGACAGATTTTCTATTTGATTATTTAACCTTCTTCGGTATAAAGACCTTTTCTAGAAAAATATTAGCATTGTTCTTTTCGGATAACCTCTAATTGAACATGACAGAAAGCAATTTATTCTCTTAATGGTTCTCGTACGTCTTCTCATGGAATGCATATCTTGGTTCTAATTGATTTAGCCCAATAAGAATAAATCAGTAACGGATAATTGGTAGAATGCAGTGTATTTTCTTGAAAAGCGAATATTTTATTTAGGAGAAAAGGTTTGATAGGATCCCTTTGGAACTTAATTTAGCCATTCTATTCAGAGGTACAATAGAGGGGAATTGTTTAGGATTTTTATTCGTTATAGATAGTCAGCAAGATGGCTTCATGCCTTTTGTGACAGCAACTTCGTGTTCTATTTTAAGATTTATTTTGTTAATTACAATTTCTGCAGATATTCCAATGATATTCAGACTTTTGAAATTTATTTTATTTCAGTTTTCATTAGCTTTACGCTTTTCGTTCGCACTTTTCCAACTACCATTCTACAGCTATTAGCAAATCTTGCATCCAAGTGTCTCATATGAGTCTTAGATTAGTAAAGGGAATTACTTTTAAAAGATTCAACTTAGATTTTTCTATTAAAGATTTAATTCGAAGAGAAGCCAATCACAAATAAAGCTAAATATTCTTTTACAGAGTTAGTTATTGTGGATACGAAATAAAATACAAAACTTTACGTCTATTTAGAATATAAATGACATTCTAAATATAAATATAAACGTTTGAAAAAATAAGTTTGGGCTAAACAATTTGCAAAGAATTGCAAAAATTTTGTTAAAATGTATGATAAATAATACAGTTCGAAAAATCACGGTTAAGATACTTATTAAAAAACTAATTTCAAATGAGTTCTAAATCAGATAATAAATTGTAATCGAAAAAATTCTGGTTAAATACTGAATTATGCAGGAACTTTTGAATTTATTACTTAAAAAAATGCAATTTTTGTTCTATTTTATACTTTCAGTCCTTTAAAATGCGAAGATTAAAGTTTCAGATTAAGAAGAAAAGTTTTAAATTAGAGTAATCTTTTTTTTTTATTACCGGAAATGCTTTTCATGTCTAAAATGAATTAAACTAGGTAAAAAAAAAGACCCAATTAAAACCGATAATTATTAATTATTCACTAACTAAACTATTCAAAAATTGTTTTTGAAAATTTATAACTTTATAAGTACTTCAAAATGGACAAAATACGTTTTACATACGATTTCATTTTCTAAAATCCAGATGTAAAAATAATAAAAAAGTAGTCCAATTGGCGAGTGGCACTTCAAGTACACTGTAAAACATTTCGAATAAAATTACGATAAAAGGTACTAGCACTCAAGGTGCCGGTACTTTTTACCGTAAAATCCATTTTTACCGGAACTTGTTACGGAATAAAAAATCGGATATACCGTAATTTTTGCAGTAATAATAATTACCGTAAAATCAATAAGTCACTTTAATTAAATAAGTATTTCTGTAAAAATTATGGTACAATATTTTACGGTAAAAAATGGATTTTATGGATGATGCACCCAAAATGCCAAACTGTTGATAAATTTTTTACAGTGATTCTTGTTCTTCTTCCTAGTTAGAGTAAATCATTTAGTCTGTTAGTTTGTAAATCGGATTTTTTTAAGTCAAAATTTTAATTTTTTCCATATTACAATTAAGTTACGTTTTAATTTTTTATTTAAATCAGAGTTTTTTTCCTGTTCATTTATGGTAATATTTAAAAAAAAAAAGAGCTTAACGATACATAATTAAAATCCAAATCAAAGTGAAATACAGAAATATCAAATTAGACTTATTTATTGATTGGCAGGTGAAAGAAATTACGAAACTCTTAAAAAAGTAAATCGAAGGAATTATAAATGAAGAAAACAAAATGATAGGTGTTTCGCAAAGAGCACAATTCATATTTTTTTTATAGCCTACGTCAAAAATGAAGACTAAAAAGTATGCTTAGAGTATATTTAGAGTAAAGAATAAAAAGGATTTCGAAATCTAAATGAACCAACTCTGCAAAATACAGAATTGATAATCTTAAAACCTCTCTGGTTGTCAAAGAAAACTAAGAGGAGTAGAAATGGGATTTTTAAAAACACTTTCAAGTTTGATCAGGCAATCAAACTGGTTTGGCTGTTTCTCTCCTTGTCTATTATACTAGCGATTTGAGAGATTTCTACATTGTTGCTTCTTGTCATAAATATTAATTTTAGCTCCTAAATGTGCATACCATTTTGATTTCGTTTTTTGCCATTATGGCTATTACAGAACATCAGTATTAATAAACACAGGAAGATGAAAGAAAATCACACGAAAAACTTTTATGTACGCATTTTCGGAAAAAGATATTTCATAAAATATTGTATTTAGAAATTTTGACGCTAAAAAATTATTTTTCAAAATCACACACAAACTGAATTTTTAAATATACTTATTTCTAAAATAATCCTGAATCATGTACTTTTTGTATTTTTGTGAAATGTTAACTCCATAATTTGAAATGCTAAATCACAATAAATTTATTTTATATTATCAATCAATGAATATTTCATAACAATAAATCTTAATCTAACTATACTTTTTAACTAATTAAGCATGATAAATTGGAGCAGTTCTTTTTATTACTTGCATAATAATCGATGCAAAAATGAAATCAAGTAACCTAAAAAAAAGCTACCAGAAGTTTTGGACATTTATTCTAATGTGTTTTAAAACACGCGCATGAAATTCATAAAAGTTCCAAAAATTGAAGGTTTTAAATTGAAAACGTCGGTCTCTCATTTGTAAAGAATAAAACATTGCGAATATGAAGTTTATGGAAACTCATACCCAGTTCAATAAAATTCCCTGTTCAGCAAAAACGAGCCTAATTAATGCGAACAAGTTTAATTTCATTAATTAAAACTTCTTGAATAAATTAATGTAATTAAACTTGGAGCGCAGAGTAAAAACGCTTTATTCGTTGTTTCATTTTCTAAGATATGAGGCATGCACTGAATAGTGTTTATAAGTCAAGATGACGTAAAGGTAATGATTAAGATTAAGAAGAAAATGAGAAATAGCAACTTACCATGAAGTCCTACAAGCACCGCCTTAATTTAAAGAAGATTTTTTTAATTAAAACTACTCAGACCAGCGGTTTTGGCGAAATTTCTTTTCATTGCGGCTAAATTAGATGTCTTCGTTGGCGCTCGCTTTTACTAAAATTGTTCTTATAAATTTAGGCTCAATCTATATATGTTTAGAGGTTTTAAGTCAAGTATAGATATTTTTAAATAGCATAAAATATTTAAGCTTAATCATGAAGAATTCATTTTATGGCTATTTAGGGTACAAGTATCTAATTATATCATAAAACGGAAAATATTGATTAATTATAGCGGAAGATGAATTTATTGCATTTTACAAGGAAATAATGTAATGCAAGCCCGTTTTTTGAAAATGTTAAAGCGCAAGTTATTAAAAATCAATTGTTATTGCTGTTGTTTCATGGTTTCTTAACTTTTGAGAGTTTTTAAAGGTTATTAAAAATTGAAAAGTTCTTTCTATCTTTAGTCAACTATGCTAATTTTGCACTGTTGGAATTTTCATCCTAAAATTTTGCTAAAATAACCGACAACAGTCTGTCCATCCAATTAACCGTAAAATTCATGGTCAAGCAAATTTTTACCTTTAATGTTTTGAAACCTTTTACAACTAGTAAGGTTAAAAAACCGTAAATATAAAGCTATACCATTTTTTAACCTATTACAATCAGTATGGTTTCAAAACCATAAAAACGAAATTTAACTGAATATCGGAGATAGTTTGGCAGCTTTATGGTGCTGCCATCTATGTATGAATGAGAGTATCATTTTTCAATAGCCCAGGGCTAGGCGTACATATGTAATGGATGAAATATTGTGGTGTCTAATTCTAGTTATTTAACCGTAAAATTCTAGTTATTTAACCGTATTAGGTGAAAGCAGTTAATAAACGGTTTTTATCACAGTTATCAGTTTAAATACCATCTTATTTAAGGTCATTTGACTGTTTTGTTTGAATGTAGCAAAATAACAGTTAAATAAATTGTTCCGAGATAATCCGTTTAAATAAATTGTTCCATTCCTTCCGAGAAATTTCTAATAGTGTGAAAATGGCGCAAAATGTCAGCATGAAGGAAAAGCACAGTTTTGAGAAATTGAAAAACGTCTGTGATCGAATTTTGAAAAGTTATTAAAAATCTGAATAGTTTGAAGTAAATATGATTTTAAAACTGTTTTCTTTTTCAACACTCAATGAAACACAACCATTGAAGTGGACATTACTTTGCCTGAATCAACAGATTATGGATAAAACCATGAGCAATATTACAATGATTTATAAGCTTTATTTTTTTGCATGTTTAAAGTTTAACATTACCTGTGAAACAAGAAACTAGAATGAGAAATATATTTACATCGCCATTTTCTTCTAGGCCGGTCAGCATAACAATCACGGATACACCTTGCTGCCAAATCATTCGCCAAAAATCACAAATGGTATGTTTCAAAGGTGCTTGAGCGCATATGTACAGTTTCTTTTCACGGTAACCCTAAAATGAAAATTTATTCATATCATTATCACACTGAGGAAAAAAATATCGTCTAACTACCAGATTATAGTAAAATTTATCGTGCTTCGAGAAATATGGGAACACCAAAAAGCTCGGTAATTTTTACTGAAGCCCTTTGGTAATGATTTTGGCTAAATTAACAATTAAATATGGTTTTATAATACATAAAAAATGTGGTAAAATTTTGTAATTTTATCATGATACGTTGGCGCATGGTATAAAAACAATTTGTTTGATTACTTACTTTCCAATTTTGTATTTTAGACTAAATGTTTGGTAATAAGAACCATAATTTTGAAAACCAGATTTTCCGGTGAACCGTTATCATATGAATGGAAGAATTATCAAATGGTATTTTGGGTTTTATTACCAGAATTATGATTTTTTTTCTTTTTTTACCAGAAAGGCCATTGCTATAGAGCACGGTAACTTTACTCGATTTTTTTTCTCCATGCTGTATAAATTTATGTTAAATTCGATATTAATCAATTTAGGCACGCTTGTAGGAAAATAAATTTTCTGTACAGCATTTCTTAGACCTTAGACAATGGGCACATTACTTTTTTTCAGAAGAGGACCACAGAAAAAAATACGGCATTCCAGGGCAGCAATAATTTCCCTTTCTGTGCCAATTTATAATAACTTAATTATTCCCTTGTGTAATAAAAATGTTAATAATATAAGTTTGTCTTAAGTAAAACACAGGTGCACCATTTTTGAATTAAGAAAATTTTAATCATATTGTAAAACATTGAAATATTAACTGGAATTTAAATTTATTTTTCGTGGAAAAACTAAATGTATAATTTTTTTTTAACTTTAAATAAAATTATTTACATCTTTAATTTTTGAATAAACCCTTGAACTATAAGTTGGTTTGAATATGTTTTTATAAAAGTAATTTCTTCTTCTTATATAGCATTATAGCCATTGGTGAACCTTTGCTTGTTCTACAATTCTATTCCATACAGCTCTCTCTTTTGACTTTTCTCTTCATCTACGAATCTTCATTATTTCCAAGTCGTCAATAACGCAGTCCCTCTACCTTTTTCTTTGGCGACCTCTGGGCCTGGTTCACATAGGTGTCCAGTTGATGATCCTTTACAAGTCGTGATTATTGTCTCTCCTCTTAATGTGTCCAAGCTATGAGAGGCGTTGATATTTGATACAGTGAACAATAATTTTTCTCTTAATCATTTTCTCAATTTCAAGGTTCGACTTAATTCTCCATTCACATTTATCATTAATAGGTTCGATTATTCTCCTCAAGACCTTTCGTTCAAACACCAGCAGGTCATTTTCATCTTTTATGGTCATGGTCCAGCTTTCACTTCCATGTGCCACAATTGGTTTGATAATAATGTTAAAAAGTCGCATTTTTAAAGACTTTGTAAACAATTTATTTTTAAAAAGGTAGCTGTATAAAAAGTATGACCGGTTCCCTTTAACACTAGATTGCCTAAGGAAGTCCTTTTGACTGCGTTTTAATTTCCATTAGAAAAACAATGATGACGCATTTTCTTAGAATTTTGTGACTTTTTGTTTTTATTAAAAGTTGCAGCATAGTCTTGTAAAGTTAGTTTTGTAATAGTTTTGTAAAGTAAAATTTTTATTTGAGACATTTTTTAACTTCCGTAGTACTAATGGGAAATTACGGAAACCCGTAGTGTTCGAAGTTTTACTAGAAATTACGAAATGAGTAAATAAAAAAATAAAATAAACGGATTTAGTTTATTTACTGTGAATTATTTAAGTTTTTATTAACCTAAAGTAATTCTAATTAAAGAATGTTAGGAAAAAATTCTTTGAGTTTTTAGAATTCTATTAGTACTTTCATTTGCTTCAATTTATTCGAGCAATCAGTTACAAAGACAAAATTTAGATAGCTTTTTTCATTTTTCAATGTCCCCCAAATAAAAAGAGACAGAAAGCTTAAAAACATTTTCTAGTCGACTTATTTTTAAATATTAACTTTATCTAAATTATGAAGTCTAGTCTCAAATATATCCTCCAACAAAAACTTGTTTTCGGGATGGGAAATGAATAGCGCATGTGTTTCAAATATAATGTAAATGTGGCCGATTGCATACATTTCTGCAACGCCAAAAGGAATGTAGCATGAAGGGAAAAAAAAACACCAGAAGGGGCCAAACAAAAAAGACTTTATTCTTGGTCTTGGTATCTTTCATCCTGCTCTCTTTTTGTCATTATTTAGAGCAAAGAAGGCAGCTCTTGTGTTTCTCAGCTTTCTTCTTTCTTTTTTTTTCCTTCATCGCTCTTCCTTGCTTTCTTTTCTTTTGAGAAGCAGAGTTTAAAATGTTTCCCGTGCGGAAACATTTCTCTTGTTGCTGTGTCTTTCCTTTTCTTCAGCTCCAGAGTTTCCTTTTTATTTCAAGAATTTGACATTTTCTTATTTATTTTCTGCTTTCTTTCTTTTTTTTTTCTATATCTAAGTTCTATCCTTTGCTCTTCAGCGGATTTCAGCAATAAAATGGGAGATATAATATCACGAAATATTCTTTTTGCGGTATTTGGCTACGAGATTTCCTGGTCTAAATGCAAATCATTCCTTTATTCGGCGCGTTTTATTTTTTGTTTCATACTAATACAGAGCCGGTGAAGAAGAGTACAAACTAATCTTTGGCTATCTAATAAAAAAAAATTGGTTTCTTATTCATCAATAAAATGAAAACGATTTTATCTTTTTGTAAAGTTATTTCAATGATTAGATATTATTATTTTGTGAAGGAAGACATTTTCAATTTAACTTAATTTTATGTTTATAAATAAAGTTAAAAGAACGTTGAATAAGTCTCTAAAGATATTTGTCTTATATGGCCTCAAGAAATCGCGAGTACTTTTCTATCTAAGTTGGCAACATGTGAGTCCTACATAACTGCGTTGTATATATTGTTGTCTTTTTAAAAATTTGTAGGCATAAAAAAGATACAGATAATTAAAAAGTTATCTTGCATAAAAAATATTTTTTTCCTCAAAAAATCATTTTCAAGAACATACATTTCTTCTTCGAGAAATGAACAAGAGGCATACATTTCCGGTATGGGGTGAGAATGAGAAAATTTCTTCAATTGGAGTGAACAAATACATCTTTTTTTTTCTTTGCATTCAAAAAAATATTATTTTTCGTCTTTGGATTTAACAACAATTTTTTCTCTCTTTGGTTTGGTCTAATTTACAGAAATGATCTCAATTACATTATTTAAATTTCAGACTTTACTTAAAATTTGCCATTATACTTTGCACTTTACTTTATACTTTACAATTTACTTTATACTTTGCGATTTACTTTATACTTAACATTATGTTTTAATTTTTTTACGCTTTATTTCAGATCTTGCGCTTTATTTTATATTCTACTCTTTACTTTACATTATACTTTACGCTTTGCTTTATACTTCACTTTATAATTTAATGTCCTTTTTTATAGTTTATTTTATGTCTTGCAATTTACTTTGATTTATATTTTACAATTTACTTTATTTTACGCATTACTTTACTTTTTATTTTGCTTTTTACTTTACTTTATATTTTATACTATACTTTTTTCCTTACACTTTACTTAATATTTTATACTTCACTTTTTACTTTACGCTTTACTTTATATTTTATGCATTAATTTATTTTGTATTTTACGCCCTACGTTATATTTATTTAACGCTTCACTTTAATTTTACTTAGGCTTTACTTTCCGCTCTTATTTTGGTTTTTACTTTTAGTTTTTTTTAAACTTTGCAGAGTTTTCAATCTACGCTTTAGTTTACTTAAAAGTTTATGCGTCACAATTTATTTTATTTTACACTTGAAGCTTTTTTACTATAATTTAAGCTTTATTTTAATATAGGCTTTGTTTTAATTAAAATTTTGCTGTAATTTAAGCTTTACTTTATTTGCGTTAATTTGCGTTTTACTTTACTTTACTTTCTATTTCACTTTTAACTTTGCACTTTATTTTATATTTTACGCTTTACTTTGCATTTAACGCTTTACTTTACATTAACTTTATGCTTTACTTTATTTTACGCTTTACTTTGTATTTAACGCTTTACTTTACATTAACTTTTTGCTTTACTTTACATTAACTTTTTGCTTTACTTTATTTTACACTTTACTTTACTTTCTACTTTAATTTTTCTTTTATTTAAAATTGCTTTACATTTTACTTTAGATTTTATTTTACTTCACCCTTTAGGTTTTACTTTTTAGTTTATGCTTTACTTTACTTAATATTTTATTTTTTACTTTTCATGATATCTTAATTTACCTTTTGCTATACTTTATTTTTACTTCATTTCTTTAATAGTCTCTCCCACTGCTTCAACTTACCCCTGTTTTTCACCAACGTTGGCTTCAAGCCTTAAGCTTTGAATCAGCAATCCAGTGAAATGATAGAGATTAATGGCTAACAGTCTATAAAGATAACTGCATAATAGTTGAAATTAGAAATGGTAATACTTGAAATTAGAAATGGTGATAGTTGAAATTAGAAATGGCGATAGTTGGAATTAGAAATGGCCTTTTAGCACGTCAAATTTCAATTCTGTAGTTGCCTTGTAGTCAACGGGAGATCAGCCAGCATAGTTTTTCTTTATAACAAGTTTAACAACTAATAATTCTGGAATTAATATTTGGATATTAAATTTTCCCTTTTAACTAAATCCTTGTACATCTTTCTATACTCCTACGTAATGTCAAGTTTCTACGTCTCATAGATTTTGCGCAGCAAAAGAAAATGTAGCAGCATGAAATGTAACAGCAAAGAAATGTAACGTTAGGTTGAACACCAAAACAGCAACAGCATCGATGCTGTCTAACACTTGAACAGAAAGTCAGGTTAAAATGATGTAAATTATTTTCACATATCTAGTTTCCATTGAATACAATTCACTCTCTAGCGGCGTTGTAGCGCCTCAAGGGATACAGCTAGTTTTCTTTATATTATTCTTTCTTATAAAAAAAATATTATAAGTATAATTAGGTTTAAATATAATTTGATAAATTTAGAGAACTTTCCTTAAAATAAACTAAAATATCAAATTTAATGATATTTAAAGAGTTTTAAAAAATGCAATAAACCATAAGGCTGTAAAAAAAAAAATCTTTGTACCTACATACATTTCCTACTTGCTTCAACATGTTTAACTGACGTTGCTTAAAATATACACGACAAAGAAACTAATTTCTCTGCAATATTTTCAGAAATAAACTTAAGTGAAAATAAGAGATAAAAATAAAATAAAAGTAAATACATAAATAAATAAAAATAAATAAGAAATCTTTTAGAAGAAGAATTCATTTAAGTTCTTATGGTTTTCATTTATAATAGTCATTTAATTTCTAACACAAATAGTGAAAATGGTAAATTTTACTATAATAGTTTTCTTGGTTTAGAGATTAAGTTTCGGTAGCGCATTCCGTAAAGGCACTGCTGACGTAATAGAGAGCAGGATTTCGTGAGTTCGATCTTGGCTGCTACGCAGCGAGGTGAGCGTTAAACCTGTCTTTTCTAAAAAATTTCCCTTTCGTTGTGGTATGAGAGTTAGGAGGGAAGGTATCAGTCCAGGTGCTGTTGTCTGACAATGGTCAAATTTACGAGGTCTTCCTGTCATGTCCTTTAAAAAAGACAGAGAACAGGAGATTGGTTCTGGTTTGAAGAGGTGGTTTAGTGAAATTGCAAACAAGTTTACTCTTGAGAATTTAATGCATGATGAGTGAATCTACTCACATAAAATATTTCGGCTCAAATGAATAAAAATTTGATCTTATGGACTTTATCCGACTCTCTGGAGTCAGTTTCTTGAGGAGTTGAAACAACAACTACGAAAGCCTGAAGTGTGTATTCTTACCTCGACGAAATTGGCGTTGATGTAATCGGATCCTGGAATATCCAAATCCGATGATAATCGAATTCTCGTTTGATCAACTGCAAAATGAAGAAGAGGAAAATATCAGATGTAAAATACATAGTATAAGAAAAATGCATTGTACACGGAAGTAGGAGCTGTAGATTTAAATGAAAATATTATTTTGAATGCGAAATTATTTTCAAGCAGTGTACTCAAATTTATTATTAGCAAATATATTCAAGATTATTTGCAAGGAATGCAGACGTCATCACCTGTGGGGTGGGTGAGTTACTGTGAATGACCGAAATTGGGGGTTGTTGTCTTCCACCGGTGAATGCTGACAATCACATAGTCGCGTTGGTAAATGTCCGAAATGCATACCAGGTAGAGTTAAGTGCCACTACGCGGTATACATTTGTCCTAGTATGCCTTACATCAATGTTTTTTTAAGGTTCAGTGCCACTGCCCGATATACATTTGCCCAGTATGCCTTACATCAATGTTTTTTTTAAGGTCAGTTAAGTAAGGTCTTTATTCTGATGAGATGAATTTTTTAAAAACATTTTATGTTTAATATAACAATACAATGAGTTGATAAGTGAGATTAGAATTATGCCAAATGATACCAAATGTAGTTAATCTTTATTCTGATGAGATGAATTTTTTAAAAACATTTTCCGTTTAAAATACCAATACAATGTTACTGGGAACGGCGTGAAATAATAATAAAACAAATTTGGAACTATGTGATCGAAATGCGCAATGTGAGTGATTTTGTAGTGTTGATAAATATCTATTTTTTGATTGGTTAAATTTTTTACTCCTTGCGAAGNACATATGTGTGTGTGTGGGGTGGGTGGGTGTGTTACTGTGAATGACCGAAATTGGGGGTTGTTGACTTTCTCCGGTGAATGTTGACAATCACATAATCGCGTTGGTAAATGTCCGAAATGCATACTAGGTAGAGTTAAGTGCCACTACCCGGTATACATTTGTTCTAGTATGCCTTACATCAATGTTTTTTTAAGGTTCAGTGCCACTGCCCGATATACATTTGCCCAGTATGCCTTACATCAATGTTTTTTTAAGATCAGTTAAGTAAGGTCAGTTTTAGTTATTATTTAGTTATTTCTTTTGAAAAATGAAATTTTTTTCACAGGTTGATTGGCATTTTAAAATTTAATTTAAATAATGCATTAGGCATTATTATAAATTAAATTTTAGGCAATTCCGTGTCTTCAAATATTTAAATGATAAAATCAGTGATGTTTAATTGCTTACATCTCTATTTATTCAAAAAGGAGTCCATTGCACATTCATTAGTATTTAATTATTTTTTATTCGTTACGTTAAATATGCTCAAGGATCAACGTAGATGGCATATGAGGGCTATGCAAACAAATTATGATTTCCAAAGTGATCTGAAACCACGTTTTTATTTTGTTTATATTTAGAGCTTTTGAAACGTGTTTCTATAAAACAGAGCAATTTAATGATAATAAAAAGTAAAATAATTTGCGTTCTAAAGAGCAAAAATAATCATACTATTATTGACATCAATCGATCCTATTATTGACATCAATGATGCTAAATTAATTTTTATGACAGGTACTACTGGTATTTAGAAATAGGTGCTGTTCAGATAGGTAAGAAATATAAATATAGCATTTTACCTGTATATGGATACTGTGGTTATAGGTTTTAATGGAGCCTTGAAATTGATAAGTACAGGAAAAAAATCACACGATTGAAAAAAATTTTGATTGTCATGAGTTGATAAGTGAGATTAAAATTATGCCAAATGATACTAAATGTAGTTAATCTTTATTCTGATGAGATGAATTTTTTAAAAACATTTTTTGTTTAATATAACAATACAATGTTACTGGGAACGGTGTGAAGTAATAATAAAAAAATTCTGGAACTATGTGAACGAAATGCGCAATGTGAGTGATTTTGTAGTGTTGATAAATATCTATTTTTTGATTGGTTAAATTTTTTACTCCTTGCGAAGAACTGGTATTCATCTAGTGTAAAATAAAATAAAAATTAATTTGCTTTAAAATGCAACAAGAGGAAGTGCCGTCCAGAATCTATACCTATCACTTGAGTATCATAAATTAGCCTGCAATTATTCCAGCGTGGGTACTATTTGCGTACTCCGATTCCCAATCGAGGGTTAACAATTTTGAGTTAAAGGGAAAAAAACACCTCTTTATTTCCCTTTAGGGAATCCTATAAAAGGCGAAAACATATCCTAATGGTTGTGCAAATCCCTAATGTGAATGGTGGAACTCAATCAATGAAATTCATTTACATAATTCATTAAATTGTGACCTTTTCGACGAAGGGGGGAGGGGGTGAGGGTTGAAGAATCGGGAAACATTGTGCATGGTGAGATTCTTTCTGACTAATCACTTGTTCGAACAAGAGTATTTCTAAATTCAAAATTGACAGCAACCGTTTATCATTGACAAGCCACTTAGAGCGAAGGAGAACGATCATACTTACAAGTTTAAAATTATCTTAGAAATATTCGAAATTGAAAATAGCTGCTGAACCTTGGGGAAAAAGTAAAGATTTATGATGTTTGTTAGAGAATGTTCGAGAATACTTACTGATAAAGAACACTTACTTGAATGGGAATAAATATTTTAATATTCAATCTGATTGTGTTTTTGCTACAAATTTTTGTTCATTGTTATCAAATTTTGCTTTTTTCTATCAAATATTGTGTTCTTGCTATCAAATTGTATTTTTTCTCAAAAAAATCTCTTTAGACACAAGTTATTTTTTTTACCAAGGTAATAAAAGAATAAACTTATTTTGTATAAATGTGTATCAAGAAATCATTTTTTTTAAAAAGTGATTGTAGCAATGAATTTGATTTAAAAGTGAGTTGAGGATATAATATTTCATAATGTGAATCAATTTCTTACATTTAAAAAACACAGTTTCATCAATTATACTAAAAAAAAAAGAAACTAAATCCGCAATTTTGACTAAAATTTTAATTTATTTATCACTCATATTTTTATTTTATTTTATATCCGTCGTTGAACAGCCGACCCAATTTTTGGGTTTACGACTACTTATGTTCAAGTTCGTAGCCTTGTAATTTTGAACCAATCTAGAAGACAAGGAAACTCCTGGATCAGTACCCCCAGAGGTATTGATTTGTTATGGGAACATGGAGGACTTTGAGACTCGACAGATTTAACGTGCATCAGTCACCATTTACTACACGGAGAGTCTTCAGCTACACGTAGTAGTAAGGTATCCTGGTCGGTAGGGCGCTGGGACAGGGGCCCAGTGCCGTACCGACCAGGATAACTTATCACTCATATTTGAACTTTTGTTCATTTCCAATATAAAACTCGTTAGAGTTTTTATCTCCGATTTTTAGAAATGACGTTCAGTCTGGTTTTTTGTGCCCTGACAGATGAAACCCAATTCCTGAAAACAAAACTTAAATGTCTTTTGTCTTGCTTCGAGTAGTTCAACCCTTATATTTTGAAAACATTATACATATTAAGACGATTAAAATTCATTTTTACAGAAATTAATTTTTGAATTATTAATTTTCTCGTAGTCAGAAATTTCTTACATTTCAGAATTTTCTTAAATTTTAAAAACATTTTCCAAGAGCGTTGATTTTGAGAAAATTTCGTTTAGCTAATATATATATTTACAAAAAAGTTCATGATAGAATTCTCTGAAATTTTGATTATAGATTTTATTTAATCTTAGCAATGTTTCGAACTAAAAGCTAAGGTCTAAGTGTAGATTTGTTATTTTTATCATGCTTTAAATAAGAATATGTCATTTAAAAAAAAAAACTGTTTTTTAAGATTTTAAAACACAAGTAATTACATTTCTGATCTAGAAAAAATATTGTTTCGAAATTTATGTTAGTTTTTTAAGCTCAACTTTGCGCTTATTTTGAAAAACATTTTATAAATTTTTAAACTTTACTTTAAATTTATAATTTTATTACCTTTATAACCAAACGTGAAGTTAAAGCTTAAATTGTGCCTTATAATTTTAGAACCCTTATAACCAAACATAAAGTTAAAATTCAAATTGAGCCTTTTTAAAAAAAAATTGTATCAGAACCAGTTGGTTACTTTAGTGATCTGGTAGAGATGATCCAGTAATGCTTTAGTCAGTAAAGAATCCATCGATCGGATTAATGAATCCAACCGACTCACTAACATGACTTCTCGGGCAAAATTCTGCACATTTAGGCAATGAAAAACTTTCATTTATAACAAACCCTTCAACGCTTATACTTATAAACCGAAGAGCCATTACATTATGACCACCCTGCTAATAACATGTAGGACCACATTTAGCCCTCAAAACTGCCAGCACCCGCCGTGGCATCGATTCCACAAGGTGCTGATAGGTAGTCTGAGGTATCTGGTACCAAGCGCTCACCAACTGGTCCTGCAATNACTCCGATTCCCAATCGAGGGTTAACAATTTTGAGTTAAAGGGAAAAAAACACCTCTTTATTTCCCTTTAGGGAATCCTATAAAAGGCGAAAACATATCCTAATGGTTGTGCAAATCACTAATGTGAATGGTGGAACTCAATCAATGAAATTCATTTACATAATTCATTAAATTGTGACCTTTTCGACGAAGGGGGGGTGAGGGTTGAAGAATCGGGAAACATTGTGGATGGTGAGATTCTTTCTGACTAATCACTTGTTCGAACAAGAGTATTTCTAAATTCAAAATTGACAGCAACCGTTTATCATTGACAAGCCACTTAGAGCGAAGGAGAACGATCATACTTACAAGTTTAAAATTATCTTAGAAATATTCGAAATTGAAAATAGCTGCTGAACCTTGGGGAAAAAGTAAAGATTTATGATGTTTGTTAGAGAATGTTCGAGAATACTTACTGATAAAGAACACTTACTTGAATGGGAATAAATATTTTAATATTTAATCTGATTGTGTTTTTGCTACAAATTTTTGTTCATTGCTTATCAAATTTTGTTTTTTTTTCTATCAAATATTGTGTTTTTGTTATCAAATTGTATTTTTGCTCCGAAAAATCTCTTTAGACACATGTTATTTTTTTTTACCTAGGTAATAAAAGAATAAATTCATTTTGTATAAGGAAATAATTTTTAATTAAAAAGTTATTGTAGCATTGAATTTGATTTAAAAGTGAGTTGAGGATATAATATTTCATAATGTGAATAAATTTATGTAAACTAAACTTTATTAAAATAAATTTATAAAAACTAAAATGTTTTTTGTTTTGCTTCTAGAAGTTCAACCCTTATTTTTTGAATAAATTATACATATTAAGACGATTAAAATTCATTTTTACCGAAATTAATTTTTGAATTATTAATTTTCTTGTTGTCAGAAATTTCTTACATTTCAGAATTTTCTTAAATTTTAAATACATTTTCTAAGAACGTTGATTTTGAGAAAATTTCTTTTAGCTAATACACATTTACAAAAAAAGTTAACGACAGAATTCTTTGAAATTTTGATTGTAGATTTTGTTTAATCTTAGCAATGTTTCGAAATAAAGGCTAAGGTCTAGGTGTGGATTTGTAATTTTTATCCAACTTTAAATAAGAATATGTCATTTTTTTAAAAATATTTTTTAAGATTTTAAAACTAATCACATTACTGATCTAAAAAAATGTTTTGAAATTTATATTAGTTTTTTGAGCTCAAATTTGCGCTTATTTTGAAAAAACAATTTATAAATTTTTAAACTTCACTTTAAATTTATAATTTTATTATCTTTATTGTCAGACTATGGATTTCAATGAACAAGGTTCGAGTAAGAGTCAGAGATCACGAGTTCGAAAAACCTCTGAAAGAGGGAGTTCGAACATTTAAAAATAATTCAAAGACAGAATTTGCATACTATTAATTTTGAGTGTGTAAGTACCCTCATTATGCAACTGTTATATTGTATATATATGACAAATCAAGATTGGTTTTGGAGTTTTTTTGTTTCGTTTGATTTTCATGACTGTATGTTAATGAATTTGTTACCTCATGTTATGGAGAGGTTTGTTTTCCTTTATGATGTTTCAGTTAAGTTATGATTTTTCTTGCTTAATAAAATTTATGATTAGTTAAAAGATGACTTTTTCATTATGCTTGCTGGGCATTTTCCACAACGCACTAAACTCTGCCAGCATTTATAACCAAACGTAAAGTTAAAACTTGAATTGAGGCTTTAAGAAGATTGTGTCAAAACCAGTTGGATTCCTAGTGATCTAGTATTTTATTTAAAAAAAATATTTCATAAATTTTTAAACTTTATTTTAAATTTATAATTTTAGAGCCTTTATAACCAAACATAAAGTTGACATTTGAATTCATCCTTTTTAAAAAAAAAAATTGTGTCAAAACCAGTCGGTTACTTTAGTGATCTGGTAGAGATGATTCAGTAATGCTTTAGTCAGTAAAGAATGCATCGATTGGATTAATGAATCCAACCGACTCACTAACATGACTTCTCGGGCGAAATTCTGTACATTTAGGTAATGAAAAGCTTTCATTTATGACAAACCCTTCAATGCTTCGTTTTACTATCCCTAATTTTCTTTATTGTATATATATATATTATTATTTACTAACGTGCTATCCAATCTGCTTGATAGGTTTCAAGAGTCTAGAAAATTTCCCAAAATCAAAGTTCGAAAATTACAGATATTTTCTTTAACCTCTTCCTTCTCGCTCCCGTGAAAATGACGTGGTGAGGTTTCGCCCTCTATTTCTCGCTCCCGTGAAATTGCCGGGTTGGAGTGTTCAGTAGTAACGCGGCAATAAGAATAAAACTAATTAATTTCTTTTACCCGAAAAACATTCTATTTCTCATTTTGCACTCCAGTAGCAGAACCAGGATATTTTTAAGGTAATTGTAGATAGTTAGTTTATTTCAAACTAGATATCAGCACTAATCAAATACGTGTATTTGTGATATGTGATATAGAAAATAGGCACTTTCATGACCGTTTTCTTGAAAATTAACCGATCGTTAAGGGGTTAAACATTATATTCCATGTTATATATACATCGAAATAAAGATTTTAATATATTCCCGCTCCCCGAATAGTTAGGAAAAAGCTCCTCTTGTTTATGTCCTCGATACCAACCTTAATCTAGTTTACTCGATAGATTAGAAGTGTCTTGTAAATTTGTCGAACCACCCAACCTTACAACGACAACAAATCAAAGCCTAAAAATGAAAGACATATTCTTCGGCTTTCCAAAATAAAGAAGAACGTAGAAAAGGGGAAAGAAAAGATAAAAGAACAAAAAAGTAAAAGACTTCACTCTTTAAGAAAATTAAGTGTCGATGTCTTCAGAGGCTAATTACGTACTCTTTGCAAAGTATTCACCCTCTTTTTTTTTGAGGGGGAGGGGGATTCTTTGTTATGTTTGCTCTTTGTCTATTGGGTGTGTGTGTTTTTTTTCTTCCTTCTCCTTTTTTCGTGGGTTGATGCTGGCTAGAGCGGATCACTGCAAGAGCATGAACACTTCGTTGGACAACGTTAGACGTCAAAACACATTGGTTTGTCGGGACTATCCATCAACTCTGAAGAGATCGGGATTAAAAACAGGAGAGTTTTTCTTTTTTTCCTCTTTTTTTCTTTCCTGCTAGAGGTTTTGTTGCAGTGACACTTGATGTATGTTCGTAAATTTCTTGCTTTTCGCCCAACGGCTCTCTTTTCATGTCAAAATGAAGCGAAGATAGAAGTTTCGAGTGAATAGGATTAGATGGCAAATAGTAAGCTCATTAAAAAAGGATAAGGGCTTTTGAATGTCGTATCATGAAATTCATAACGTCAATTACGTTAGTTTAATACTGATCTAATAATTTTACAGGTAGGGTTCAGGTCTTAATAATACTATCTGCGTGGCAGAAATATATATTTTATGCTACATTTATCAGGCTTCGTGAAAAATAAATTTAAAAGAATATATATTAATATTTTTAAAACTTTAAAAATACAGAGTTATTTTTTTTTTATTAAGTTGCGAAATATTAAAACCCTGTTAAAAAATTGCCACCGATCCAAAAGAACTGAAATTTCAACACTGTGCATCCAAAGTAAAGAAAATTTTTTAGGTGTGGTACAAAAAAAAGTTTGTAATCGCATCAATAGATGACACTTTAAATTTACAGGAACTAAGAATATTTTCAATGGGGGGAAAACAATAAGCAAACATCGATATTATTATCAGCTTTAAAATTACATCAGTTTCATTATACATGTTACCGTTAAAGTAAATAATGCAGTTATTTCATAGAATACGTAGTTATTCCATGAAATAACTGATCGTGTCCGTTAAAGTGTGTAATATGTTATTAATTCGACACTTTAACTAGTTATTCCATGAAATAACTAGATATTCTATAAATAAATTAATGAGAGACAGTTAAAGTGTAAAATAAACAATTTATCTAAAATGAAATAACTAGGTATTCTATAAATAAACTAATGATAGACAATTAAAATGAAAAAGAAGCAATTTATCTAATTTATGCAGCGTATAAATGGTATTTATGGAAACGTACCATAAAATCATTTGTTACAACAAGGATTACTTAAATGACACTTGGAATTACAAAAAGCATTATTTCTAAAAAAAAAGCATTTTTTTTTGACACACTGGGTTTTACAGGAACAGTTTTTAAATCCCTGACCAGTACCTAAACTTAAATTGTCGTGCGAGATATATGATATAGATTATTTTGCACTTTAACGGGCTGCAGATCGTTATTCTATGAAATAACTAGTTAAACCATGAAATACAAGAGAGTTTTACACTTTAACAGACACGATCAGTTATTTCATGGAATAACTAGGTATTCTATAAAATAACGAATTTCATACTTTAACGGTAGCATACATTATTAAAAAAAATACAAAATGATGTAGTTGGGAAACATCTTTGCAGAAATGTAATGAAATGAAAATACGTCTCCTAACTTCACTACAAATACAGGTGTGATTTTATATTTTTTCCCCTCTCCTAAAAAATTTCCCTTGGTTTGGAAGTAAGAACACTGTTGAAATTTCAGTTATTTGGGATCAGCGTTTCTCTGGTTACAGGGTTTTAATTGCAAAACTTTTTAAAGAAAATCACCCTGTTTATGAATTATATTTAAGAATTGTATGCCATTTTCTACTTTTTTATGCATTGTTTTCCAAGAGCATGGAATAATAAGTAAAATTTTAATCATGTGAAATAATGAACTAGATTGCTAACATCAAAAGTAATAACGAGAAAAACAAAGCTTCAGGTTTATAAAACTATAATCAGACCAACCGTTATCTATGCATCAGAGACGTGGACTTCAACCCAGAAACAAGAAAAAATGCTGATTACCTGGGAAAGAAATATTCTTAGAACTATTTTTGGACCTGTCAAAGAGGGTGATCTGTGGAGAAGGCGATAAAATTTTGAAATTGCAAGACTGTTTAAAGAAAAAGATATAATAAATTATTTAAAAGCAAAGAGAATTCAATGGGTAAGACACCTTGAGAGAATAGAGGAAAACAGAGGCACTAAGAAGATATTCAAGGGGCAGTGCCAGGGTCAAAGGAAAAGAGGAAGGCCGGTCAAAAGATGGTTTGATGACGAGGTGGAAAAATACTTTAAGGCTCTAAAAGTCCAAAACTGGAAGCAAAGAGCTAGAGACAGACGACTTTGGAGGAAAATTGCTAGTGAGGCCATGGTCCAACATGGACTGTAATGCCAGGGAGTTTGAAATAATGAACTAATAAAGGGAAATTGCTCTAGGAGTTGAGACTAGATACAGAAAAAAAATGTTCAGGACTAAAAAGCAACGTAAATATCTTTGGTTCTTTGTAATAAAATATTTTACTTAAAAATGAAAAAGAATATGTTGTTTGCATAATATCCTGTTACTAGCTAAGAGTATCAGTGGCAAAAAAAGAATAAACGAGTAGTCTGGGAAGGAAAAATGATATACCAATTGATACCCAATTGTTTCAATCAATAATAAGAAAAAAAAACGCAAAATTAGTTGTAATGAATAATATTCTTACATGCTTTAATTTCGTGATACCTATTCTTGCAAGCATTCTCACAACTATCAGAGGCTGTAGTTGTTCTATCTCTAAAAATATCCGGTAGAGCCTAAAAAATTAAAATAATTGTAAGCATTTTGAATAAGAATGGAGAAAGATTATAAAGTAACGGGTAAGTTTAAAAGTCGCTTGCCTCAAAGTTTAACGGTACGCAAAAGTATCAGTAAGTAAATTACCAGTAAGTAAATTACCAGAAGTAAAGTATCACATGCATTAGTTAACATTTCGAATTTTATTTTTAATAGCTAATTTTAGGGTCTACAACAAATTCTTGGAATGTTGTTCTGTGTTAAACCCAATCGTATTCATTTTGCCAGATTTTAGAAAAGAAAGAACTTAAGGTATAGTTCATAAATGATTCAAAAATGCGTTTCTGATTTTCAAATTTGAAATGCCATTTATTCCACACTCAACAGCAATATTTTTTGAGCTTTTGGTCGGTGAGAGCAAAAATTCTGTTTCAATTTCTCTCAGTTTTCTGCCATTCAAAACGAAAGAACCAACTAGCTGTTTTCTTGTCAGCTACTGATCTAGTTATACTGAAACGGTGAGTTAATCTTGTCACCGTTAACTTACATGGTACTTCAGAATATTTCTTGCGAAGCTCTTTAACATAAATGCGGAACAAAATAATACCCCAATCTCCTGGTAAAACAACATGCCACCGCTTTGAATTACAAGCAATTAACTACACCGATTGCAATAAATTCCATAATTTGCATTTTAATCTTCCTGGAGGAAATCAAAATTCAATACCTTTTTTGATGAATTATGGACCTTTAAACTATGGTGTTCACTACTTTAAAACCATCCTGTATTCTGAGACCATTCCTTGAGGGAACAATAAGAATAACGAGAAACTGTTCTATAAGCATGGACTTTTTTTCAATAAAAATAAATTATATTGAGTTTGTATTGAGCACTTTAAAAAAAATGTCAAAACTCATTTTTTTAAAGCGCCAGAGAGCACCAAGAAGTGCTCGAGTAGTTAGCTACATTGCTCGAGTAAAATACTGGAGTTGCTCGTTCCTTGTGACTATTACATCGTGACGATTAGATAAGCAGGATAATAAAATGGAAAAAGCTTTAAAAAAGTGAAAATTGGTGATTGATGGGCTAACTTACCTCAAACTCGGTCCGGAAAAGAAGATCTGTATCTAAATGCTTTTCTGCATAAGCAGCAGGAAGCTCTTCAGCAGCGATTGGTCCGAAATATGGAAGCTTGGACAAATGACTACCTATATTTTAAAGAAAAATATAGCAGTGGTTGAAGAAAGTGGTTCTGAAAAGTTCTTACAAAATGAAATGCATGAATACATAAAAAAGTGTAACGAAAATTAAATTATGGGCGAAATGTAAGGTATTTAAATAAATTTTATTATTAATATTAATAAAAGCAATATGCATCTATTAAAAAGGAAAAAAATGAATAAAAAACTATTAAAAATATTAGTTAACTATTAAATCGTTATAAAAGTATTAGTTAACTAAAAATATTATAAACTATTGAAAATATAAATACATAAACATTGCAGTCGTTTTCATGAAAAGGGCTAATTATACGATACACATTTGTAGCAACTGAATTTCCATAATTTAAGTTTGGCAATAGTAAGCACTTGTGCAAATAATGTAATATTTTGTGGAAAGATGGCGCCACTGGTTTTCTACAAAATATTAAGCCACATCATAATGGCCGAAATAAGTACAACTGATGTACTTAGTATGACAATGAATTAATTAACGCATGGAGTTCTTCGTATAAATATATATCTCTACCTCAATAAATAGAAATTAGACAAATGAAAGAAAAATATTTTTGTGTGACAGGAACTATAATATGCATTTTTTTTTTTACAATATATTGTTATTCAGCTAAACCATGCCGTGGTTGCTATTGTTCAACGATTAATACATCGAAATCCCAATATAAGAATATCCACACATTTTCTTTTTTTAAAAAAAAAAGTTTAATAGTAACTTTTACAGTATTTCACGAAAGAAACTAATTGATTCGATTACCTCAAATTTTAAAATTGGTAACGTAGCTCAAATGACGCTACTGACTGAAAAAAAAGAAGATATAAAACAATGTTTTTAAAATGCTCATTGTTTACTGCAACCACACCACGTGACGCAATCTAGGGGTTAAAATTAGCAGACACCCATGCAAATATTTTAAGTAAAATAGTCTAACGTGCTCAAAAAGTATTAATTTATAATTTTTCATTCACCAGCGCCATCTTTTAACGAACTTAGTGAATATTTTTGAATCTTAGTTAAAAAAAATAACTTTCTACTTCAACAAACTGCAACCGTTCATATCTATCAATAATGGTTGCTCAGATCACCAATAATTTTTGGGATAGAATACCATGAGAATAAATGAAAATGAGAAAAACAGGAATCTGATAAAAATATGATGTATATATGAATATCAATATATTCACATTTATGGAGGGTCTACAGTACTATTGTGGTAATTGCAGGTATATAGTCATTATTTCTATGTACAAAATTTATTTCGAAAACTTATGAGCCCCGATTAGTTTTTAAAAAATAAAAAAATAACTATAAATCATTGCATGTTTTTATTTTCATTCATCTAATTTTTCTTATCATACCATTTGTTCAAAATTTTTTCTCCTAAACTAAACATGAAGCGGCAGTAAAAATGTTCTTATTTCGAAATCAATGATTAAATTAAATGATTCCCAACGAAATGGAGGATAACGACATAGTGGAACAGTTTAATCACATTTGTTTTACAGCACGGGATAGACAGGGAGACCCAGTGATTTTCCTCCATTTAATGAGAACCCATTGAACTAACAGTCGTTTGAGGCGAAGGACTCCCGGGCAAAGAAAAGAAATGGCGGAGGCAAACTGCGATTAATCCCACGAAACCCTTTCCAACTAATCCTTTATTTTTTTCCCACCCTCCTCTTAACTTTCAGAGCTGCTCCTCCCACTTAAATCGCTTAGCTCCTTTAATTCTTTTCTATAATGAAATACTTGAAGAAGAATGGATGGACTAAAGCTTCTAAGTTAAGAGACTTCAATTATGGCGATAAAAATGAAGTTCTTACAAATGAACGTGCTAAGTGTTTTAATACAATCTCATCCTCCTTTGGCATTTCTTTTAATCGAATATGAAAGAAACTGACTTGGGATGGTGATGCAAGTAAGTATGTGCTCTTAATTACTGCTCGATTGTTACGATGCATGAGAACCGAACGGCTTTATAAATAATTATTTGCAGCTGTTCTTGTGCGTACGTAAAGTTTGAGATCTTGATTGTTCAAATGCACTCTTAATGAAACATTTATTAAAGGTAACTATGCATAATTTTCGCATATTAATTAATGCTGATTAGTTGTAAGATGTTTCTGTTTTATTTTAGGGACTGAGATAAAACAAAGACATCGCCATCGAAGTAGTCGGTGCATATTTTTAAAAATTGTTATCAATTGCTCTTATTGTAAAGTTGATCTGGAAAGTGCTTGTTTATTAATTGGAGATCAGATAAGTCTGATTTAATATTCAGGATGGATTGGTAATAAAGTGAAATGTTAGTTTATTATGCAGAAAGGACGATAGTCAACTGATCAACTTTGATGCACAATGGCAGTTAAAAAAAAATTCCGTTTTATGGTACAGGGCACAAAAAAGCGAAACACCCATTGAATAATTTTTGATCTAATGATCAGATTTTCAAGTTCCAGTACTCATTCTTAATGGTTTGAGGGAGTATAACAATATGCTTAAATATGCTAATTAGTTAGTGCAGAATATATTTTAAGTTAAATTTAAACACGTAAACGTACTTTATCTGAATAGACATACCTTTTTTTCAACGGATTAAGATTTCTGACTCCAAAAATGTAGGAAATGGCTGCAATCTTGGAAATATGATTAGTTTGATCAAGAGACTAGTCTAAAGTTTGGACCCCTAAATTTTAATTTTTGGGAATTTAGCCATTTTTTAAGCTAACTCGAGAATTTTTTAAGCCTATCGGAATTTGCTTATGACAAATTTTGCTCATGCATATCAATTAAAAGTACTAGGCTGCTCCATTTTAATAACAGATAAATGATTACCGGCCGCGAAGCTATCCGAAAATTACTGCGAAAGCAGTTTGGAGCTTAGAAAGCTATAGTGAGCAGGATCAGCTCATAATATCAGTTCATAATATTATTGTCTTTTTCTAAAAAATGCACATTAATTACTTGAACCAGTTGTTGTGAATTCTTTCCATTAAAGTTTGATAATTATTAATTATGTTAGGACAAAGTGATAGTTTTTCACACGATATTTATGCTTGCTATTGGTTACTATTAATAATTTCCGATTATTGTTAATAATAGCAGGATAATCGCACTTACCCCTTGTTCCAAACAATCTATAAGTGTGCATTATTATAATCCTTATCCAAAAGAGGAAAGTATTGGAATGGAAATTCTTTCCTCATAGGAAAACTTCAGTGTAGAGAATAATGATCAAATGCGAGTATATATCTAACAATGGTTCTTCACTTTAAAAAGTTCATGAAAGTAGAAAATACTTGCAGTGGTAATTTTAATAAGAACAAACATTTGTGTAAGCTATAACGGGCAAGTGTGTACCAGACAATATGTCTTAACTTTGAAAATGTATTAGAGCAGGAAGTATCAAGTAGGTGTATACAATGTAATCTATTATATTTTCCACAGTTTTAATACTTATTAACAATAACTCGTCAATTTGATAAATTCTCATAAAAATGAATTATTTTAACTGTCACATTTTAGTAATTTAGAAGACCCCATATTAGGTAATCATTTAGAAGTGATCGATTAATTACATTGATCCATAACTTAGGTATGAAAGTAACAATGGATTAAGAGGATTTATTCTATTTCATGTACAGCATAGGGAAATAATTGAATAAATCTCTGGGGATCTTAACGTAAAAGTTCATTTACTACTAAAGTAAAAAAAAAGAACAAAGAAAAAAAAAACCCATGCTATAATTATAATTTTTTTTCTTTCTTTTTCATTTAACAGCTGCTAACAAATGTTACAGGTTATGTTAAACTTAATAATCATATTCTGTGAACTATATATTTTCTTAGATAGATAGTATTATTTTAAGGGAAACCACTGGTCTTTATATTACCATTTCCATCTTTTTTTTTTAAAACAGCAGTGTTGTATAAACCTGCCAAACTAAGTTCTAGAACATTTCAGATCTTTAAACTTTATGTCAATAATATGGAGATTAATGAATAAAATTGTGCGTGGAAAAAGTATGGAAGCAAAAAAATCAGCATCAAAAGCTGCAAGAATATCATCGTTCATATAACAAAAAGTTCAGCTTCAACACTAGTTTAAGTGCTAGAATACCAAAATCCCTATAAAAAAGTTTAGCTTTAACATGGGTATATATGCAAAAATACCAAATTTTATTTCAATTGAAAATAGTACGCTAGTTATAGGCGCGAAAATCTTTTATTTTAAGAAAGGGTTTGTTTATACTCAAGAACGGGGCTGATAATGTTTGGAATGAAAACTAACCAATAAAGTTGCACGGTAAAAGCGTCCTAAAAATTTGAGATTGAAAAATTTTAAAGCTGTTCATGAAAACAGCAGAGGATTTACGAGCTAAATCGTATTTTGTTTATAGCATTAAAAGAAACTATTCGTTTTGCAATAAAATAACCAGTGATCTTAACGTAACGATCCAATTACGGTGAAAGAAAAAAAGATCCACAAATCATAATTACAGACTTTGCTTTCCATCTGATTTAACAACTAACAGACGTGGCAGATTTTTATTTTCTATCAAGCAAATCACTTTTGATTTTTCTTTGGACCGTTAATCGAATTCTCTTTCATCAAATTCGAAAAACTAAAAAAAAAAAAAGTCAGGTACTTTCCTACATTTTTATCAAACTAGTTCGTTTTTGTTTACTCTTCATATCAAGTACCATTCTCCTAGTCCACTTAAAGTCGTTAAAGGGGACACATGAGATTTCTAAAGTTTTCAAAATCACCTTTTTTTCTTCTGTTTCTATAATTACGTTAGCTCACACTCTAAATGGAGGTGATTTTTACGAAACAGCCGGTAAGATTATTTCAGTAGCGAGAATCCGGTATAAATAAGAATAAACGCCGTGTGTTTATATCCGGCTCATTAATATAATTAATAGTACCATCCACCAACGAAGCGTTAAAATAAAAACAACATTTTTACGGCTAATTACCATCGATTTTAACGTACTTGGCGATTGGCATTCGAAAGAATTTGAAGATGCCTCGTACATCTTTTATTATCTATTTTTTCCCCCATTTCTTTTTTTGTGTTCTGCCTTCACCTTCATGATTGTTTTCCGAGTGTTATCGCTGGTTGATGATGATTGCCATCTTAATTGCTTAAGAAAAAGAAGATTTCGCTACTAAAGCGCCATCTGGAAGACACCGAATGAAAAATGATCCAGTTTACTTCTAAAAATGATTGTTTCATATCTAAAAATAAATCTTTTGGCCATCTTCCAGTTTTTTAAGCCTAAAGCGTGTTATATTATCTATCTTTTAGATTTTTCCCAATGGTGTTTGTATTTTACGAACCAGTAATAAAAATGATTTTAATGCAGCTCTAAAACACCTACACTTAAATATTTCATTTCTCCAAAGTTAAATGAATCATATATATATATAATGAAAGAAACTGACTTGGGATGGTGNAAACTCATAATATAATTTAAAATAATCACAAAATAATTAAGTCCTAATTAAATAATCCTAAATAAAATTTATTCATAATAAAAATAATCATAAAAAAATTCAATCAGTATGAAATGATCATGAAAATAATTCAATCACAATAAAGTAATCATGAAAATAATTCAATCACAATAAAGTAATCATAAAAATAATTCATTTATATTAAAACAATCATAAAAATGATTCAATCATAATAGAAGAATCATAAAAACAAATTATCATAGTGAAATGATTAAAAAAAATCCAATCATTATCCAATTTGAAAAAAAAATTCAATCATAATAAAAGAATCATAAAAACAATTAATCATAGTGAAGTAATTTTTAAAAAAAATCCAAAAATTATCCAATTTAAAAAAAAAAATCAATCATAATAAAAATAATTCAATCATAATAAAAATAATTTGCAAAATAATTCAGTCATAATAGAATAATTAGAAAAATAATTAAATCATAATAAAAATAATCAGAAAATTATTTCCTAAAAACCTGAGTAAATTATAATTTCTGACTGCCCTTCAACCAGGACATATTACTCAAACAAATTAAGAACAGAAACATCGATTTTATTAAGAATGAACTAAATCACATCACTCAACCGCAGTCAAGCATTTAGCCTCATTTTTCAGTGCTCTCTTTTTTAATGGCTACGCAATTTTGACCCCGGTCAGATGACGAGGACTGCACCTCCGTTGGTACCTCTTTCTTTACAGTTCCCCACCACATCCAATGGGAAAACTTCCCAATGCGGTATGCATGCCGGTTGTTTATTCATCTTCCAGAATCAAACTCATAACCCCCGACACTCAAAAACCTCTTAATATATATTTGCAGAATATTTGTAAAAGTGAAGTAAAAAAAGTATACGCAATCGAAGTCACTGAAAATATATATAGTGAAGTAAGGAAAAAAAGAGCACTATCGAAACCAGATGAATTACTATTAACCCTTTCCTTCTCGCTCCATCAAAATGACGGGGTGAAGTTTCGTCCTCTATTTCTAGTACCCGTGATATCTTCGGGCTGGAGAGTTCAAAAGTAAAGTGCTGAAAATAATTAAACAATCTTTTTCTTATGCCCGGAATAATTTTTATTTCTCAATCTTAAAAACTGAAGTGTTTTTTAAGAAAACATTGCAACAAATTATTTTTGAAAAAAAAAAAAGAAAAAAACATGTTTCCTTTTAACTCATTACTCGACGTTTAAATTATTATTTTAAATTAACTTAGCTTTCCTTATATTTAATTTTTTAGTGATAAAAAAATATTTGAAAAGTAAAAATTTAACCAGTCACAATTACCAAGTTTTGTATTTATTTTAAAAAAAAGAAAGGGAAAAAATAACAGGATAACAATTTTTTATAAAAAAAATAAGGAACAGTATTTTTTTTTGGAACAGTATACATATACTACATTACTTTTGAAACGGCAAACAGTGAACTAAAAGAATAATTTGCCCCATTTTAGAGTAATAAAAGCAAAAAATGATTGAAATATACTATTCTTATCACTTTGTTTTGAACAGAAAGTTTTAACATTTTGCAGAATAATTTCATTAATGCTGAACAATTTATATTAGTTTCAAATAAATATCTGAAAATTTTTTTTAGTACTATTGCATTAAAAAAAATAACGAGTATATAATTAAAATTTATAATCGAGTTAAAGATTGCCTTAAATATTTTTAAAGTAGATTTTCAGTGATCTCTAAATTAAAATGTAATTAATATGCCGCTTAACACTTTAATACAAAAGCAATTTTACTTTTTGTTTTACAAGAATGGCGACTGATGCGTTGTTTGGTTGCATAAGTTTCAAAGTTGCGTTAAAATAAAAGTTGAGAGGTTTAGGTACTTTTCGTGAGGATTATATACTTATACATAGAGGTGATAATAGTTAGTTGCACTAGGGGGCCGCCCCCAGCTCGCTACGCTCGCCAACCCCCAGAACTGCTTCGCAGTTCCATTGCACATTGCTTCGCAATCTTATAAAAACATTGTAACAAATTTAAATTTTAAAATAAAAATGCCAGATATTGAAATCAATTACTTAATGAAATTTATACACTTCTCTGCCCCCTTCACAATTTGATTATCTTTTCTTTATGTAGCTGAGAAATTTGGAGCTGTAGCAGAGAATATATCTCAATAAGAAATGCTTTCCCGTTTAGAATTCCGCCATTCATTTCTCTGACGTCTGCCAGAGATATTTCGACGCCTGATAGCAGGCATTTCATTTAGGTAGCAGGCACTAAATAAGTAAAAATAGAACTAAATAACTAAGATATCGTTTTAAATCTCAAATCAAAATAATTGTAGAAAGTTTGTTTTGATTTGAATATTCGCACGTTTGTTTTGGTTTGAATATTCGCACGATGCCATTGCCATTCTATTGTAACGAAACAAAAAATTTATCGTGAAACTAAAAATTTATCAAAGGAACTAAAGATATTGAATTCTTTTTTAAAGAAATTCAGTTCCGTTTTTTTTTTTCCACTCTTATTTTTGTTTATCAATCTATTAATTCAGAAATGCTTTAAATCAAACGATGCTTACGGAAACAATGCTTATGCGAACCACCCGAAAAATGATTTGCTGAATTCTCATTGGTTGAAACTAAATTATTAATTTTATTAATTAATTAAAGGAAATTTTCATAATTTAAGACCTTATTGCACATCTACATAACAATACCTTTAAAACGACACCTTATTTGTGTAATTCTGTTGCGTAGTTTGGGAGTTTTTAGCGAGACAAAATATTGCTAGGCTATTAATATATAGATTTAGAAAATATTTTGTTGTTGTTAATTTAACTCCCATTTAATTCTTTGTTTAAAATTACTACTGAGCTGTATATTTTAAATCCTCTCAATACATTTTTGCCGTATATCTTTTAGAGAAATTGCCATAATTCCAAATAATATGCATTTGAAATAATTCTTACAAGTTTTAATTAATAAGTTCGGAAGACCTAATCCTAGAACAATTCTGTACTTACTCTTCGTGCTGTTTGCCTATGCATAAAAGCGCAATTGATGCTTAGATATTATTGAAAAGGAGTTATTAATCTGGGTTTTATTGAAATTCTCGTCGGCAAGGACCTTTAAAAGGAATGCGTGTCGTTCCATTTAAATGAAAATCACCATCAGAGCGACAGGAACCGTGGATTTGGCATTGCGGAAGTTACCTTCTCGGAGATAATTATATGCCTAGATGAGTGTTATTTGGCGAACTTGGAGCGAATTCGATCAAACTTAGAACAGGGCCACTTGGGCTCTGTAAGGGTTGTTGGTTTGTAAAATAAATTGATTACCTCTTGGCAGATGGGTGCTGCGGTGAACAGTCCTTCTCAGAAGAGCTGTCAGTCCCAGGTGTTCACCTTCCTCACCGTCATACGGGCAACTGTTACGACGCCTGCAATAAATGGGGAAGTTGGATTTGAGTTTTCTTGGCAAGACAAAAGACTTTAAATATACTTTGCGTCGAATATTGAAGAGTATTTTCTGAAAAATCTTTGGTCTCTCTTATCCTTTATGTAAAGAGTTAGAATTAGCTTCCATTAAAATACGGTTGATTTCCATTTAAATATGAAAATGGTTGATACAACATCGACATTCGAACAGTGGAAATATTGAAGGTAGTTTAAATTTGGAATTAATTACGTTACATTACAGTTTGCTTGTTTTAATTGTTATATTGAACAATCGATGAACAATAGCACACTTCAAACGCTTCTTTTAGATGGTGTAAAACTATTGAATTTTCGTATCGGTGAGGTATCTCGTATATTGTTGCATCTATTTTTTGTGCGTTGCTATAAGTGTTGCATTCTCGTTTTTTCACACCAGATAATGAAACCAAAACTGTGATAGGTTTTTGAACAAATTCTTTCGAAAATGTGATTTTATGTCAGTTGCACAATGTCATCCCTCTATTTCATGCACAGAGCTCAAAAAGTAAACGGACTGCCCTAAATAACTTTTGATCTAATGATCGGATTATATTTCCACGTTCTAGGACTCAATGATTTTAGGGGTTTCCCCTATATGCTAATTAATTAGTGCAAACGATATTTTAAGTTACGAAATGAGACACAAAAATGTACTTTCTCTGAAAAAAATATCTTTTTCTCGACGAATTGGGATTTCTGACCCCCAAAATATAGGAGGTAGCCGCAATGTGGTATCTGTGTGCACACAATTCTAAAATTTATTCCATTCAAAAGGAACTTTTAGTAAATATTTATTATTTTTCATTATTTTATTTAATAATGGTCAAAATTTTTTTGAATAGTATACAACTTTACAAAAGTTCACAATTTCAAAGAATGTAATTTGACAAAACAAATAACAAAATTTGAAAGAAATCGGTCCAAACACTCCTGAGAAATCAAATTTTAACAAGTCGTCGAATTTCAGGATCCGATCATTAGACCAAAAGTTATTTAGAGTGGTTCGTTTATTTTTTTAAGTACTTCCCTTTGATAAAAAATTTCAATTAATTAAAAAATGCGTGAAACTAAATGACCTGTTTATAAACAAAATATCTTGACTGTACTATTGCTATTAAATAATAAAAAAAGGTAATAGAAAAAGATTTCTGCTGCTTCGCATAAAACCTATCTGACGTACGCCTGGCTTCATATTAACAGTCTATGATTTTTCATTATTGACGATATTTCATTTATGATTTTTCATTATTATTCAGAGTTAGATCCAACTCTGTATAATAGTGTATGTTATAGACTAAATAAGGAAAAGCGTGGAATAGATAAAGTTGCATCAAAAAACCATTTTTTGAATAAACATGAATTTTGTATAATCATTTTGCTCTATAGAGGAGCATTAAATCAGTTGGAAGCATCGAATTTAGAAACACATAAATGGGTATGTAATTCAAATAATAAATTCAGGAGTTAACTTTGATCAGTCTTAGAATATCTTAGATCAGTTTTAGAAATAAATAACCGTGTCTTGTAATTTAGATAAAATAGGGTTAAAAAATGTTAAATTAAATGGGATTTAAAAGCAGAAGTTCTCGAAACAATTCTTAATTACTGAATTCTTCGGAAAAAAATTGCATGTGCACTTTTTCAGTGTAATTTTTCTATTTAAAATTTAGTAATTCTTTATTTCAATTATATTTAATGTCGCAACACTGCTAGTCCTAATTATAATCAATTGTTAAAGGAAAATAAACTAGCAATGTCACATTCATCATTTATTAAAAATGTTATGATGCATGCCATTTAAAATTAAAAATTCTTACTTGACTAAGATACCCACTTCATTATAGAATAATCCACTTTTTCAACTATAGCTTATCGAAACCAATTGTATTTCTCTAAATGAAGTAGACTGTTTATTTTTTGATAAAATTATAAATTTTGGGGTTGGTTAGGTTGTATACAGGGTATTCCCTAAAGACCACCTTTAATGTGTATTATTAGAATTTCCCTAAAAAATTAAAATTAAGAAGTACGCACAGTGGGACGAAAATGGATATTTAATGATATCAAAATCTTACAAACAGTAGGGGAAGGGACTGTAAAGCACACCAAAACTTGTTTAATTGTAAAAGGAACCACAAAGAGTTGAAAAACGATTATTGCAAATACACCCAGGTTTAGCCTCAAGATGATTTAAATTTTGAAATCGGGTATACTTTCTATGAGTAAACATGCCTTTAATATTTTTGCTCCCTGACTAATCTTTAAATATGTAGTAGCAATCTGGAGTAAATAATAAAATTATAATAAAATACCATCTTCCGAACAATGTTTACTTTAGGAAAGTGGAAGAAAGTCCTAATACTTTTTATAACGCTGCCTATTTCGTGAATTTCCTGAAATTGAAAAAAAAAAAAAATTCTTTACCGATTTACAAAATTAATTTGCAAATGAATTCAAAAATAATTTCCTAGAAAGCATAATCTCAATTAATAATTTATATTTTAGAATTCATTTTTATTATGATAATTTTTCTTTTAAATTTAAAAAAAAAACGATGTTTCTTTAAACATTTTTAAAGGTGCCTGGACATGCTTTAAAACATTTAAAAAATGCATTTATTTATTTTTTGTTTTACAGCACTGCATGCAAAAAGTACACAAGTACAAAAGTACACTGTATGCAAAAGTTCTACAGTGAGAAAAAAGTGTGGGCAAAACTACCAGAATATGTTAAAATGTACCGTATTTCTGGCTCAGTGGGAAAATATATCACGTACTTATTAAATAGGCTAGGGGATGCCAAACTTTTTTTGATCATCGACCTCTACACAATTTTTCGAAATATCCATCAACCCCCATAAAAGTAATTTTCTGTTAATTAAAATAAAACTCTATTAGATACTGTGTTTGTACATTTATTTTATGATTTTGAACATTTAATAAAGTAATAGTACATAGTGTAACAATAGTTTTATGAAAAATATATTAATGTTGAAATATAAATACCCTAATATTTATGAAATAATAAGTAATTATAAGCAAGTATAAATAATAAGTAAAGTAACTACGGATTCATTGCTTCTTAATCAATGACATGGGCGTACCTGGTGTTTTTTTTGTAAGGTTCGTTATATTGGGTTCAAAATTGGTCAATTTTAATCTTAAATCCCCTCGAAACTCCACATTTAATTTATTTCTGTTCTTAGTTAAGATTGAATTTACGTGACTGAAACCGGTTTCAACCATATAGGAACTTGGAAATGGTATCATAAATGGCTGAGCTATTTCGTAAAGTTTTACATATTTTTGCATTATATTTATATTTGTCCACAATTTGCTTATTGTTAAATTTTTAAAAAGCGTCTTTGCTTCAAATCCCCATAATAATTCAGCAAGCTCATCTTGCTGGTTGATGACTACGTTTTCAATTTGAGCAGAAAATGTCACGATAATCCAATCAGGGAGGTCAATGTTTTCCAAATCAACAAAACGCAGTTTAAAATCGTCGCTCAATTTTTAAAGACCTGTATATATTTCCAAGTCTTCTTCTAACCAAGTCTTCTAATTGTCACATATCTGAAAAATACTGATAATCCTTTGACCAATCGACCCTTCCGGTTCGGATCGACCCCCAATCGACCCCCTGGCTCAGATCGATCCCCGCTTATGTTAAATAGACCCCTGGGGGTCTGTATAGACCACTTTGGCAACCTCTGAAATAGGCCCATCGTAACATTAAAATTTGTTTCTCCGTGTGAGAAAATCTAATCCTTTGACCAAAAGTTATTCAGTATTATTCTTCCTTCCTTTATTTATTTTTTTGTCTGGAGAAAGCAAACTTTCGAACATTTAGATATTAAGGAGCGTTTTAAACTCTAATATGGTTTAAGTTGCCAATATTATGATTCAATATTGATTATAATACATCGTTCTCATTGATGTATCGTAGTAATATTAACAGCTTTCCTGGGAATGCAAATTAATGAAAGTTGTAGTTACGGTTTCAAAATTATTAGCACTTGAACCCTTTTTATTGTGCTTAATAAATAATTTGAATTTGATTGAACTAAATTAGAATTGGTTTAAGTTTGAATCAGTGCATTTTTTAAAATAATATAAACTAATTAGTCAAAAATACTCGTTGCAATTTGTTTTTAAATGAGTTTAAAACTAGATGAATTCATTTTGTTAATGGGCATCAAACACATCCACATTTTAAAGTAAAATGTACTTAGCTTTGCAAATGCGTAAGCATAAATTCATTTCAAGCAAACTAAAATCCATCTCTGCAATAAGATAATTTTTACTCCTATTCTTTCTGCAAACAATTAGTTACAATTTGCATACCATTCTAGTTAAATAAATGCAAATACGTTAGTTTATATTTCTATTTATCCAGCAATAAATTTTGAAATACATTCGGTAAGTTTTGCATTTTTTCTTAAAAGAGAAAACTTTTAACATAAATTTCAGTTGATAAAACCCAAATTGTTAAGTAACAATGCATAGAATTATCAACTTAGTTTATTGTAGAAAAGCTGCTTTAAAAATTTTTTTAAACAATTTTATATTCATGATATAGTATAATATTTCAAATCATACATTCTATAGTATTTACTTATGCAAGCTCAACATAACTTCAACACTTTTGAATAATGCATGAGCCCTACAATTTATGAATAATTCAGAAGTGTCATTTATAATATAAAATGCCAGAAGCATAAAGTAGGAAAACGCTGATAAACGCGAATTTCTTTAGGAAAGAATTGGATTAAATCTTTTTCATTTTCTTCTTTTTACTTCTGTCTAACTTTAAATAGTAGAACGAAATGGTAGCTGGGAAGTTTGAAAAGTTAAATTCTTTTCATCTCCGAACTTAATTTTATTTAATCTGGTGACATTTTGCCAAGCTGAGCTTTTTATTTTATTAAAGTTCATTAAAAAGTTTGCAAACCATGTATTTATAAACTAAAGATATGACACTTTACTGCTATTTAGTTTTTAAGTATCATTTATACATACAAATATATTTGGCAATAAGATATAATGATGAAACTAAGGGAAGTCTGACTAACTACACTAAAAAAAACAGTTTGGTTAAAACTACTGGAATAAGATAAGTTTAAAGTGTTTCTGGCTCTATGGGGAAAGCCAAAAAAAAAAAAAAAGGAACTGTGATTTTTACTAAAACACTTTGGTAAAATGAACAGTAAAATATTGTTTCATAATCTGTGACAAAATTTAGGAAATGCGTTAAAGTTCATTAATTTTACTATGGCACCTTAGAGCATGACATAAAAACCATTTATTCAATTAACCATTTATTATAGTTTCTAACAAATCAAAATTCAATTCGATATTTTTTTCCCCTGAGAAATCAAAATTCGAAAATTTGATTTCTCAGGAACTATTCGACCAATTTCACTCAAATTTTGTATTCTGCCAAATAAAATTATATCCTTAAAAATAAGTTAAAAATTGCATACCTTACAATTCCAAATAAAATAACAAAATATTGATAAAAACTTATATTAAGTAAAATAATAAAAATTATAAATATTTATTAAAAGTTATTATTTGCATGGAGTTATATTTAAATAAAGAATTTCATAGTTGTGAGCAAAGTTTTTCAATTCGCTTAAGAATTTTTCGATATATGGTGTAATATGAAAAAAGTAAAATTAACAATAAGGGGTCCAAACTTTGGACCGCTCACCAAACTATTGGGACCATATTTCCCAGATTGCTGCTACCGGATATTTTGGGAGTCAGAAATTCGAATCAGTCGAAAAAAGGTATGTTTATTCATGGAGTAACTTTTTGTGTCTGATTTTGCAACTTAAAATATCGTCTTCACTAATTAATTAACATATTTGAGGTAACCCTCTTGAACCAATAAGATTGAGTCCCAGAACGTGAAGATCCGATCATTAGATCAAAAGTTATTCAGAGTGGTTTGTTTTTTATTTTGCACACTTTACGCATAAATATATTGAGCATTAAGAAAAATAACGACTATGAATTACCTAACTAATTGCATAAATTGTATATGAAAGAAAAAGTAATAAAATAATTTTCTCTGCAGTAGAAAGAAAGGCATTGTGTTGGTTATTTTCCAACTAACAAAGATATTTAAATTCTTTTCCATAGCCTTCTTTGTTGCATTTCTTATTCAATGCATTAACAGTTTGTTAAAAATTTCAAAACAAAATTATTTCGTAGGACAAATTTTTATCAATGTTTTATCAAAATTGCTAAAATTTTTTGACCCCCATTGGGGTCGGGACCCATAGTTCAAGAAGCTTTGGTTTAGATCAATGATTTAACAAAAACAAAAACACTGTTGACTTATATCAATTTTTTTTTCTCCTTCTTTTTATATAAAAATTAACTGATTCATATTGCGATTTTAGTCATGATTTAGAATAGAACGAAATAAAATGTTACCTAACGAGACATATGACGAGTATGAGAACATATTTTTTATAAAAATTAACTGATTCAAATTGCGATTTTAGTTATGATTTAGAATGGAACAAAATAAAATGCTGCCTAATGAGACATGACGAGTATGTGAACATATTTTTTATAAAAATTAACTGATTCAAATTTCGATTTTGGTTATGATTTAGAATGGAACAAAATAAAATGTTACCTAATGAGACATATGACGAGTATGAGAACAATGACGACGAGGATTGTTCCACAAATAACGCCAAATAGGAATGTCATGGGGCTGTCAGTGGGTCGAACAGGAGGAGCCGTACCCGCACTCGACCCCGACGACGATAGGGAGCCTGCGAAGAAAAAAGTTTTTTTTTTATTGCTCTTCATGTTTTTTTTTTACATACAGAAAAATATATTCAAAATGTGCACAGTTTTCTTTTTTGCACTATAATAATCCAAGAGCATCAGACTTTCGTCGTAGTATAAAAACTTAAAACTTTTCTGTGCAAGTACACTAAGTTTTCAAATATGAATTTTAAATAGTGCTTGATGTGGTGACAGCTAGCAAGTAGTAAAGATTTATAAATTGCAATTCTACTTAAGCCATTTTGTAAATTTCGAATTTTATAAATGTTACTTTGGCAACTATACGTATAAAGAAGCTTATCAGGTATCCGGACAGTTTTCACGTTGGAAACCACCTGCCGGACAATTTTGAAATATTATAAATTCTAATTGTGCTTGCGTCATTTTATAAAATAAAGAATTGCTAACACGAATAACATTTAGATGTTGCAAAATAAGGTTATTTCAATTACATTTTATAGTATTTTAAAAGCGTCTGGCTTGTGGTTTCCAGCAAACCAACAATCCAGCTACTTAAAAAAACATTTTAAAATAGTTGCCCGAATAGTACTTGCGTTTTTCATTCTTAGAAGGCAATTAAGTTTTACTGCGTTCCGACTGAAAATTTTGATAAATGTGATTCATGAGGTTTTGAAACTAAATAGCACATTTATAACCATTAATTAATAGCACGTTTACTAATTTATAACCTTTACTAAATAGTAACATTAATAACAATATTACAACATTATAACAATAAAACAATATCATAATAACAGCATTATCACACTATAACAATATTAGTAACATTAATAACAATAATAGTAACATTAATAATCAGCATTTCATGCCGGATGGTATAGCATAATACCGTACATTGCTTTTTGTACAGAAACATGGAAATAGATGATCAAAATATAAAGGAATTATCATTTTGGACAACGAAGCAATTCCTTTATAAATTAAATTTTGCTAAATAATAATAACAAAAAAAATTGCTTTTATTAAAATTTATTACGCCAAAATGTATCCATTTTATTTGCATGATCTGATAAAAATTGGAAAGATTATTTTGAATCATCCTGCAGATTTTAATGCTAAACAAGGCAAGATTTTATCCCATTTTCTTTGCACTAAGAAATTTTAATTCAGTTAATGCCTCGATAGAAATAATTACTCTGAAAATCTTTCAAAACATTACATTATGCAATGAGGCATAATTATTCAGCTTTTCGTTGCATATAAATGAATAGGTTCGATATTCATTTAATTAATTAGCAGCCCATTCATATAGGGATATTAGCCTAACTAATTCATGGATGCAGTGAAATGTATAGTAGGTGAAAAGGATACTAACACTTACTAGTCTGCGCAGGTTTAAAATATTCGCTCTGCTTCGCTAGAATCTGAAAAAGAAAATTAGTCATTAATTAATATTCTTAAACTGTTTAATTGGGAATCTTTCAGGAAGAATTATTAAAAGACGAGACTTAAATATTCATATCGTTAATGGTAAGAAACAAATTAGTTCAATGTACGCATGTAAATTAATTAGCACATGTAAATCAAATATATATAATACTGTTGAAACTTATTGAGCATTGAATATTAAGACAAGTGTTAACTGAAGCACTATTTTCAGTAATATACTTGGAATGCTCAAAAAATTTACATTTTGTACTTATTTAGCTACTTTTAGATAACAAAAAGAATTAAAATAAAGGGAGATTAGCGATTAACGAAGTAAGTTATGAAAAATAATAATAAGNGATCGAAATATATATATAAAGCTTGTTTATTTTAATTTAAAAAATAATAGTTAATTGCAATCACTAACCATCCTCACTAAAACAACAATAAGTATAGCGAATATTCTTTTAAGACGAGTTAGTTATTAGAAACAACAACAGCAAGCTTTTAAGGTATGTTTATTCAGAGAAAGTACGTTTTTTGTGTCTGCTTTTATAACTTAAAATATCGTCTGCCTAATTAATTAGTTTTAATTTTTAATTACTTCTGTTCTAGTTTCCGAATTTGTACGACGTTTCGGTAAACAAACGGTTAAACTTAGAAGTGTTAATCAAGTACTTCTAACTGTTAATTAATTTTGAAATCAAGCAAAAATATTAATTTTTTTCCGAAATTTTTTTTGTCGAGTACTGAATTTTGGACAACTAAGTGTGTGGGTTAGCAGGAATCGAAAAAAATGGTCTCAATAGTTTAATCATGAGATTGATTGAAAGTTCAGACCCCTTAATGTTTTACCATATTTCATTGTATCTTATGACCTACAAGTGTCCCCAGAAGCCTTATTACGGACTATTATAAAAATCCTTTATTTTAAGTTAATTCTATGTAATAAATTTGCAATAATTTATTTACTGATTAGTTTACTAATGGTTGAAGAAAATTGGACTATAATGTACATAAATGTTTTCCTCAAGAAAATTATGTAATTTTAAATGACAAGATAGTTCTGATAGTGTTTTAGTTTTTTCTTTTTTTAAGTCCTTTTTTGAAATTTTATTACTTAAACTCCATTTTAGTCAAGTTTTGCGCTTTATTTCGAAGAAGAGCCATATTAATTATAATCATTTCATATATAACCATATTAATAAAATCAATTCATATTTAATCATTTATCAATAAAATAATTTGATGTTAATACATAACCCTCCTTAAAATCCATATTACTTGACATTTTTTCGTTTTCTCTTTTGACCACCGATTCTTTTTTCGATCAATTACAAGCTTTTATTGATACTTAAGTGTGAAAAAAGTTCCAACGGAATACCAAAAGAAATTGTTTCTTTTTACAAAGTAAGAAACATTTAAATTTTCAAATTCTTTTCAAAAATATTAAATAGCAAGATAATCGCGTTAAATATTTTAAATAAATATTCAATCAGCATACGAAATTCAAACTTTTTTAAAATATAAATCTTTATTAGATAATATATAATTAAGCCTTATATAAAAGAAGTTGATAGCTTTCCGAATAACTTTCCGCAATTATTTCAAAGCACCTCAATGTCAATGAAAATATGTCCTGCATTTAACCCAAGAAAGATACTTTGATGACAATACATAACCTTCATCAAAATTCAAGTTATCTTCCATGGCAAACAACTTCCTTTCTCTTGACCCTATTTCTGCCCACCGATTTCATCGAGAACGTGATCTTCTCCAATATTTTCAAAATTTTATTGATCATCGGAACACTCCAAATGTAAACAAACTTGCAGAGAATGTACGGAAATTTGCATATTTAAATGAGCACTTACACCCCATTAAAGGAAAACTTTAAGTGAAAATCAACTTCAGCCTGTCAAAAACTTTAATCAATAAGACGGAGAAGTATAAAACAGCGTCTTAAACGACGATCTCTCTTTACAATTTAAAGATTAATGGCTGCCTCTTTCCCGAACTATCAAACGCACTTGAAGGATGGTTTTCCCTTCAGCCGTTTGAGTGTGTCATTTTGAAGCTCTGCAAATAAAAATGATGGAACGATCACCTCCAATTAGCTACGTATGGATTGACGGAAGCTGACTTCACAGGGATTATTATTTTACTTCGTCTTCATATCGAACAGGAGTAGTATTCATTTATTACGTGGTACGATTTAACGATCAGATAAATAAGAAGAAAAAAAAATGAGAACAAAATTAAATAAGTCTCTAACGGAGTGAATGTCTCATATTTAACAAAGAAATACGTTTTGACACATGGAAGAGTTTTTTTTTTTTGCATCTTCTGTTCCAGTTTCATTGTCTAAAACTTCAGTTTTTTCAGTTATCGTTACGAAAGTGAAGTATTTATTTTTAAGTGCATATTTTTAAACCATGATTTGACAGACATAAAGTAATAAAAGCAGTTTATTTGGATTAAATCGTTATTTTCATTGGTGCTAAATTGAAGGAATGTGTTACTTGAATTTCGCGGAAGGTGCACACAGTTTATGAAATACGCAAATACGTTACAGCAGATGGTATTTCAATTACGAAATCAGATACAATAAATTACTTTCTTTGAATAAAATTTTTTTTTCATTGATAGATTAGGTTTTTTTGAATATTCAAATATAAAGGTTAGTCGTATTTGGGGAAAAAACTCTGGTAAAATTATTGTACTATATGGCTATACACTGTTTCAAATTTCTCTGAAAAAATGGCTAAATAACAACTTATTTAATTGTTGTTTTACCATATTTAAACAAAACCGTCAATCATCAGCTGGTTGCAAATGGTTAAACAACCGTATAGTTTAGTATTCATGGTTCTTTTGACAATATTAGTTTAAAATGGTTTCAAAACCATAAAGGTAAAGAATGTTCTTTACCGTAAACTTTACGGTTAAGTGGATGGACAGACTGCTACCGGTTACTTTACCATAATTTTAGAATGAAAATTCTAACAGAAAAACTTCTCCTTCCAAATTCTGTTTCTATAACTAATTTAAAATTTAAAGTAAAGAAAATTGAGTTTAGGTAAGCCTAGAATAAGCCATGAATTTTCAATTGCTGAAAAAAAAATTACACTTTCAAAGTTCGAACAAATTATTGGAAGAGAAGTTCCCTATTGTGTAACCCTAAGTTATACTTTCATAATTTGCTTTCATTTTGACATTTGGAAGACTTTTTTACATAATTGAAATTGAATGTTCACTCTAAGTTTGCCATGAGCTTAGTTTTCTATAATTTAAATTTTAAGTGACTTATGGAGGTGAAAGAGAATTTGCGAAGAAACGTTTCTCTCTTGATATGGGGTCCTCTTAATGTTAATTTTACATTTTGCGTATTTCATTAAATCTATACAATTACTCAAATGAATCAAAATTTTTTGCACAGAAAGATGTAACTTGATTGTCCATAAATAGTTCCTTGTTAAATATACTCTTTTAATATTATGTAAGAATTTCTATTTTTGATATCTATACTGAAGGAAAACTTATTCAAATGTAGGGTAAACAAATTTTTTAAATCATTTTAACTAAGTAATTATAATTGACAAAATAAAATTTTTAAATAAAATCGGGAAAATATTTTTCAAAATCTTTTAAACTAATCAAAAATTTCTGCACAAATTGATAAAACTAGATTATCTAAGTATAGTTCTACATAAAACTTGCTTTTATAATAGTTCATAAGAATTTCTATTTTTATATTAATAAGGAGAGAAATATTTTGAAATGCACAGTAAAAAATGCTTACCTTATTTCAAACTATGCAATTTTAAAGATAATATCAAAATAAAGTATTATCAAGTGATTACGCCATATTATACTAAAAAAAATCTAAAATAGTTAAAGTTAACGCAAGCTAACAAAAAACAAGTTATTTTCGCTTCCGAAAACACCACCGTTGGTACACATTTTACCCCCATTAGTTTGTTCGCATCAAGTTAGAGTTGATATTAGTTTGTTGTCACTGTAAAAAATTGAAATTGTCGATAAATACACTGCCACATTGGTGACCTTCGGACGTGATGTGAACACGCCTACCTTGGTAGAAACGCCCACTACGATTTGAACACGCCTACTTCGATGGATGGTTCACATTGAAATGTTGACTTGCTACTTGTGACTGCGACATTATCCACCTCCCCTCGCTGTTGCTACTCAGTTTCGATTGAACACAACATCGGCCTGCATACACTCAACTGCTAAAGGCAACACAGGAGCGACCACGATCCTGAACTTAATACAGCTCTCACGATTAGCACTCAAAAGTACGGTGATCTTAATACAGTTCTCCCGGTTTCTCACAAAAACAGCGACAAATCAACTAGTGGTATCCATTCACCGAATTCTATCACTGATATAATTCTGGTTTGGGAGTACTGTAGTGTATCTACCACTACAAAAGTCCAATTCCATTTCACTAGCATATAAGACACATTAACTCTATTCTATGATGGAGTACCTTTTCACAGATGAAGGTTGACATGGTCGATAACTCTCCCCACATTAGTAAATAGTAGTCAAATAGTAATGTGCTAGCTTCTGTAATAAGCGAGCAAATATCACTGATGTTATCTTTAAATTATTTGAAAAGTTGAATGGTATACCTACAAGTGCATTAGGTGTGGGTATCTCGGTCCCGATTGATTGTTGAAACGTGGCATTTGTTTACGTTAGGAACTGTTCTTTCTATTCTATTTCAAGTAAGCCAAGCCCGTCAAATATCAATTCTCTTTAGTGACACATTCCATATTCTTACACAAAGATTCTTTCACAAAGATTTAATTTCTTTCACTATATATTTCTTACAACTGCCAGGCGGAGGCAGGCCTGGAGGAAGTTGATTGAGAAGGCCAGGGCCCACCCGGGGCTGTCGTGCCATTGAGGAAGGAAGGAAGGATATATTTCTTATATAACACAAAGACAGGCACGAAGCCATGAAGAACATAAACAAACCAATTATGCATCGAAGTTGTCAGGTACATAAAACAAAAATGTATCACGGTTACTATAAAATATATAAACAGATTATAAATCTAAGTTAAGTAACAGGCGTAGATAAGAAAGATAAGATTAGATTATATTTCAATTCGCAGATAAGATTATTCGTAGAAAAGATTCGTAGTAGATAATTCGCAGATAAGATTATTCGTAGAAAAGATTCGTAGTAAATAATTCGCAGATAAGATTATTCGTAGAAAAGATTCGTAGTAGATAATTCGCAGATAAGATTATTCATAGAAAAGATTCGTAGTAGATAATTCGCAGATTAGATTATTCGTAGAAAAGATTCGTAGTAGATAATTCGCAGATAAGATTATTCGTAGAAAAGATTCATAGTAGATAATTCGCAGATAAGATTATTCGTAGAAAAGATTCGTAGTAGATAATTCGCAGATAAGATTATATTTCAATTTCGATGTGCGATACGGAGCTGTATTTAATTAATTTTACATTAATTAACACTCTAACTTATGTGGAGAAACTTAGCTTAACTTTAATACGCCATTTTGCTTATATACGATCAGCTGGCACTGATGACATAGGTCACATGTGTGAGTATCCGTGATATTCTTCTTCTTGAAGTGCAAGTACCCAATTGTCTTTAGCTAAATTTAAAATTATTGCTAATGCTTAACCAATCAACTACTACAAGAGGAACAAAAATCGAACAAAATATACATATATTCGATTTGGATAAATACGATTTTGATTCAAGCTTACGTAACAGGCTTGTTATTGTTGCAAAAATACTTTAGGTTTTCAAATTGTAAATACTGTTATGAAAATTTAACTCAATGAGGTATTCATTTTAGGTTTGAAACTAAATTTTTAAAAACCTTGAAATTAAAATCGAATTTTACGGTTCAATTTTAGTGTTAGGTTCAAAACCTAGTTTATTACGAGGAGGTTTTAATTTTTACATTTTACTAGTGCACAGAGAAAATTTCAAAATTTGTGCAGCAGGTCAATTAGTAAATTTGGATAAATTCAACGATTTCTGATTTATTTTTAATTGTAAAGCATATTGTGTCCACAAAAGTTTCTCACAGGACTTAATTTTTTGCATTTAATAAAGGTATAAAAAATGTAATTAATGCATGCTCGTTTTATTGTGAAATACACATGAATTTAATAGTGAAATTGAGAACTATTGATAGTTGGTTTCTGAACTCCTTCCCTGAAAATCTTGGCGCTATATACAGAGGTTCTACTTCACCAAGTTTTCTCACCATTAGAAAACGAATATCAAGGAAAATAGAAACCAAACATGCTTGCAAAACTATTGCTGGGAACGAAAACAGGATATTACTCAATTAAATATTGTAGAGAATTGTTAGAAATTACATTTTAGGTTTGAATTAAATTATGTAAGTGACTTAAAAAACTAAAATTTTTACAATAGCATGAAATTTTTAATTTCTTATTAAGAAAAGAAGTCTTTCCTGTTGCAAAAAAAAAAAAATCTTTATATACTTGAAATCAGAGCAAAATGTTTTTTCAACCAAAAAAAATTACATTTTATTGATCAGTGTAATAAAATAATAAGTTTGTGTGTTTGTGTTATAATTCCGGAAATGCTTGTGCAAGTGTCTTCAAATTAAAACAGCAGTTTCTAAAGCCAATTTTAATAATTGATCCTACTTATTATTCAAAACTTTCAGTTAGTCCGTTTAACGGTCGCAAGTTTCTTTTAGTTAAGCTTCTTAGATATGTCTCTATAAACCTAAATAATGTAAAAGTATTTGTGAGAATAAGAAAGAGTAAATTTTGTACTTAATCAATTTGGGAAGTTTTGATTATCCCCCTACGATCAATAACATAATTTTATTTCCGAACAATTTGATTTTTCAAACTACTAAAAACATGTTTGTTTAATCCAACAACGTAAAGTTACCAGGATGAGAGACAAACAGTAATAAAAACTATTCAAGTTTTTAAATTTGTGTCGATATTAGCCTTTCAGTATTACGTGTGATTGAGTAGTGTTGATTTATACCGAATTCATTGATTATTTACGAATTTTCACCCTTTAGCTAGTTTATAAAAAAAAATATTTATTTTATTACATTACATATTTACATCAATGACAAATACTTTATAGAAGTACAAAAGAGCTATATTTCATAATATTACTGTATAAATTTCCGAAGGTTTGTTTATGGCATTAGAATAATAAAAGGTAAAAATACCTGCCCGTCAGGACCCCAAACTTGAACTTCAACATAACCTGAGTAGTTGGTATCTGGATCCAGGGATCCATCGTAGATCCTCAGGGTTCGCTCCTCCTCCTCGACCTCTTCTTGGCTGGATCTCCTGACGCGAAAAGGTGGTTCTGACCGTGGGTCACATAGGCTAAATTCTTCGTCTCCCAACACCACCTCACTGGCAAAATTTTCACTGCAAATGAAACAAAAGAGAAAATACAGTTGTTTACTTAAACTAGGTGTAAAATTGAGAAGTTTTCGATTGATTTAGGAAACTTTTTGTATATTACAAGGCGCATCCAGACAGTAAGTTTCCCTTATTTTTTTTTTTTTTTTGAAAAAAGAACTCATACTTCCAGGAACATATTTATTGACAACAAGTACAGCAATGTTTCAGCTATTTTTCAATATAGCCGCCACGAGAATTGAGACATTTGTCGTATCATGGGATCAACTTTTGTATCCCTCTGTCTCAGAACACTGCCGCCTGTGAATGAAACCACGTGGTGAAACAATAAACGTTGACCGTTACTGTGAAACACTGCGGAAATTGCGACGTGCCACTCAGAACAAGAGGCGTGGAATGCAGCCGTTGTGCTCCGCCATGGCAATGCTCGTCCACATACAGCTCGACGCACAGCAGCTGTTTTGACGAAATTTGGCTCGGAGTTGTTTTATCATCCACCCTACAACCCTGATCTTGCTCCCAGCGATTTTCATGTTTTCTTGCACCTCAAAAAATCCCTGTCCTCCGGTGAGCGCTTTGGCAACGACGAAGAGCTGAAGACGTCTGTCATACGCTGGTTTCATTTACAGGCGGTAGAGTTCTACGACAGAGGGATGCAAAAGTTGATCCCACGATACGAAAAGTGTCTCAATTCTGGTGGGGGCTATGTTGAAAAATAGCTGAAACATTGCTGTACTTGTTGCCAATAAATATATTCCTGAAAGTATGAGTTCTCCTTTTTTTTAAAAAAAAAAATAGGGAAACTTACTTTCTGGAAGCGCCTTGTATTATGATAGTTTTGAAATGCGATTGATATTGAAGTTTAAATGCTTATGCATTTATGAAATAAGTATAAAATAGGAGAAAATAACCATTATTAATGTTCATCCTTATTATTATAAGGAATGTCTCCGATGGCCTCACATCCATAATTTAATCCTTATGTATTTAGTTTCTATGCTTCAGATTCTTAGAATGGTCTGATTTTGAAGCTTTAATATGCTTTAATTAATGATTTGTCCCTACAAATGACATTGCAACACTGCAAAACGTCTGCACTGCAAATCAACAAATTACAGTTTGAAATAAATTAATTATTTGAAAATGATAATGTTCGTAACTGTGTGTGAAATTAAAAATTTATTGATCGGAATTAAAAATATATGCAGTTAATATGAGGGTTCGAAATATAATCTGCCATCAAACGTACTATCTACACCATTTCAAACTCTTCTTATTTTCAATCATAAATATCAATGAAACCTAAAATTAACTATTTTACTTCTCGGATTTGAATTTAAATATCTATCTGGAAAATGTAACGTTTCAGAAGAAAAAGAAATTTCCAAAAGTAAGTTTACATTTGAATAATATCAAAAGTTGTTTCTTTCATTTTGAATGCATCAATGAATTTTGAATGAGAAATTTGCGCTCTTTCAAGAAAATATTATTTATATCTCTGTGGATTTAGTAATAATTTCTAATTTGTTTTATAAGTGAATGCCATTTAGATAAGTTAAATAAATATAAAACATGAAAAATATTAAAGATTAATGAAAAGGGAGGAATAAAATTGCTAAAATAAAATATTTTTAAAGACATAAATTCTTTTTTTATATATTTAAAAAGAATATCAAAAAGCCGTGAAAAAGATATAATCTCTTCATCAGCTCACACGATATATATATATATATATATATATATCAATANTATGCAAAAGTAAAAAGAAATAATTTTAGAAACATAAAACATGAAATGTTACTTTAAAATTGTATGTATTTGCTATATTTAAATTATTTATTTATTATGAACTAAATACTTATATCTTTGCATCCCTTTAATGTAAATAATAAACTTGAAACAATGAAAATTCTACAATTTTAAAAAATAAAAGAATTCACTAACTTATCGTGTTTCCAGAAACTTGTGCTCATAACTATTTTTTTAAAATTAAAACATACTTTTTCGATTTTAAAATTTTTGTTGAAAATTTACTCTTTGAAAATGTTTGGCGTATGAAAAAAAAAATTAGAATCTGTATGAATGCAATTTTATGAATTTATTCTAGTAATATTTTTTTTTGTCTCATATTACAGCATCGGTCAGTTTTTGGAATTTATGTTTGAAATCCTATATTGTAAAACTGTAGTATAATACCTTTCCATGTTGAAAAATTCCAAAAATTGTGTGAATGATTACTTTATTTAAAGTTAATGCCAAATTTTAAGAAGAAGGTAATGTAATCTCATCGATGAAGAAGGTAAAGTTTTTCAGAGTACTACAAATTTGTAGAATTTACTTACTTAAACTAAAAGATTTATTGTATAGGGCTAGTTTTAATCTTACAATAAATGCTTTAGGATTATTTTTAGAAGCTGAAGGTGGATAATTATACTATTTAAAGAAATATTATTACGGCGTAGCCAGTAAGATGGTTTGTTTAGGTGAAAAACGAGTGCTTCTTGTCTTTAATTGAAAAATTAGTCATAGCCAAATAATCATCAATCCTCTTTCATAATTCCTAAAATTATTGATTGTGGTTGATTATATGATCAAGTAATTTCAATCTTGTCAGGTTGATTTGAAAAACTACTCGTATAAATTTTTACAAAATGCATTTTTTCTTTGTTGCTGTATAATAAAGATATTTATGTTTTCGTATAATCTGTTATGATAAATATGCCAATTGCATAAAATACTTTTATAATATTTAACTTCTATTCCCCTCGGAATTCATATTAACTTTCCGTCTGTGGCATGTATATTTGACTAACAAACTAATTTTATTCTAAGAAATATTGTGCAAAGCATCCTAAATGTATGGTTCTGGTTTTCGGTTGTATAGTAAAAATAACTATCATGGATTAAAATCCAAGTGCAATCAGATTGACCATGGGAAGTTTTTTTTGGTTTTCCTCTTCGTGAACCCAAATGAGGGTTAGATTCATCAAAAAATCCTCCAGGAAGGACAGTTTGTGTCAATGCATGGTTCAGGAGTTCCCTTGTCTTCTATGCTGGGTTCAAAAGTATAAGCTACGGAATTGGACATATATGATCGTAAACTCAGTATTGGGTCAACTGTTCAGCGAAATTTATAAAATTAAATAAAATTAGCAAATTGTGTGCTGGTTAAAAATAAGCAAAACTAAACTATCATGACTAACTATTATAAAGCCACATCAGTTATAAATGTAGCATATTAATCGCTAAAAAGCATTGTTTGAGCCTCTGTGGCTAAGGGGATAGGATCATCGGCATTCATCTTTCCCGATGAGATGAACCAGGTTCGAATATTAGTTCGATGGATGCTTGTTAAGAATTCTTCGCCTGACTCATACCGACCACAATGGCAGACGGATCATGGGCTAGAATCAATCCTCTTGCGGTTTTTGTGGTTTTCCTCACTATGCAACGCAAATGGGGGTTGGTTTCATCAAAAAATCGTCTAGGAAGGATTTAAATTGAAGTTTTTATGCTAAATTTCTTTATTAAGTATGTTTTTGCTCGAATATGTTCAGTATATTACTCTCGTATTGTATTTCAAGAAAAATCTGAAAAAAAAATCAGTTGGGATATTATAACTAATGAGATGCTGCACTAAAAATAAATCTGGAAAAATGCAATAATTCGATAAATTATAATAGTTTAAAAAAATTAAAAAAGCGCGAAGTATAGATTTATTATGTTTCACATAGTAAAGATTAAATGCACGTTAAAATAAGTAAGTGAAAGATTGAATTGAAATTTATCGAAATTTATATGGAAAAGTTTTGTTGTTATTTTAATGTTCTGCAGTTTAAGCATTCTTCAAATGGGCATTAAGATCACCAGATTTCTTCATTTTTAAAAAATGAAAAGATTATTTTATTTATTAGTGCCGTTTCATTATTATAAAACTTAATGCTAAATTTAAAATTGTTTGAGAGATGATTTTTCAAATATTTTCTAAAATTGGAGATTTGCTTTGCTTTAAAAATGGTTTTTTATTCACATAAAACTAAAGTATCAATACACACCAAAATTGTTTCGATATTAAAATTAAATTAAATTAAAAAAGTTTAAATTTAAAATTATTCCCTTTCTTATATTTTTTAAAAAAATGTGTGTAAAAAGTCATTACTCTTTTAGTGTTGAAGCATATTACGGTTTCGAATTTTTTTTGGGTAATCTTACAATTATAGATACATGCGTTCCTTATTTTATTTTGAAAAAATGAGCATAAAAATGTTTGAAAACAAGAGTAAAAATGTAAAGTACATTCTTAAAAATAAAGAAGAATGTATTTTAAATTTCCCACAATTACGATACGTATTAATTATTAAATTTAATTATGGACATATGAATCTTTTTGAAATTTAGAAGATATGAACAATCATTTTGTGGAGAAGCAAGAAATAAAAGTTTTAACATCAGTTTAAGTTCGACATGAGAGAAACGAAAAAAAGAAAAACGATGAGAATTGAAATAAAAGTGCAATTTTTTAAGCATTTGAAAAGAAGTAGAAATAAGTTTAAGAAAAGTAGAAAAACTCATCATTAATTTTTATAAAAGAATTTAGGAAATCTATAAATAATATATAGATAATACTAACTTGACAAATTATTATAATTATCTTGATCTGAGATAGTTTCTACGCATTCTACAATTTTTTTCAAAAATAGACAGCAATCATTGTTTGAAAATAATACTCTCTTACACTCTTTCAATCTACTTCAATTATTTTTAACAAATATATCAGAATGTTATTTTCTTTTTAATACGAAACGTACGGAAAGAAAATTAATAAAAAAGTTTCTTTCGATATGATAGTTTGTGAAACTTTTTCTCCCAAATGAAAGCGGATTCTATTCTAAGACAAAGCCCAAAAGATAAAAATAAAGACATCTCGGAGGTGAATGCTCCTATAGCTCTATAACTGGAATGCCCATAAGCGGTAGAAAAAAAGGAAAGAGATCGAAACTTATCGA